TGTTAGATACCAATGTAACAGGAAGCTTTATTCCTAATCAATTCTAACCCTCATTACCCTAACGAAGTATTTTCGACCACGAAAATACGATAAGAACTGGAGAGCGAACAACAGGATGTGTGTGCGACTAGATTATTTTTGCCCCTAGTTCATTTGCGCGGGTTGACCACCGAAAATGCGATAAGGTCGTATATATAAACTCTCGATTCCAAAAGCTCCCTCTCTTATTCTCTTATTTTCTTCGACTTCAACACAGTTAACAACTATCTTTTACTCGTCGCACATCTCCTGAATTCGTTCTTCAATCATCAAATTACCAAAGTGTAAGAAGACAATAAAGTAAAAATTAAGCTTTACCGATTGTTGTGTTTTACCATCTACATCCTGACAAAAACTTCGTGTTGCCAAACACGTAGAAAAAACTGGCTGGTGTCACGACAGTTTTATTCTTAATTCTTATTGTTACGTTACGTCAGGTGGTTACTTTAATCAACAGAATCGTCTTTCAGTCATTTATTTCGTCGAGAGAGTTGAATGTAACAATTTTGTTGCGATACTAATAAAAGGAGCTTTTTATTTTCTTTTAAAGATGAGCTTAGATTGTAAAAGTTTCATTGCTGGCTGTAATAATGTCCTTGATAATTTATTGGGGGCAATAAAATTAATTTAATTATGTGTTGTAAAAAACGAAATGTTTTTATAGCTTAAAGCTTGATTTAGAAATTGACGGCTCTAATTGCTATGGCAACGAAATTGCTATAATTTTGACATATGTCAAATAAATGTCAAATCAATAATTAAATTTTTTTCTAGTTTAGATATGTTGACTGGTTATGTCCCGTAAAGCTCACGGATCACAGCCTCACAGCTCAACATATCCTGCTCAATACCAAGTAATTATTTTACATCATCTCGATTACGTTTAATAATTTACTTTTATATTTAGATACCAATTGATTACCCAATTCCTCACACATATAAACACCACCACAAAAACAATGGTCATTATCAAACTTCAAATTATCGACAACGAATCCATAAGAAATACAACGAACCTGAAACCCCTATCGAGAGTTGTTTCAGCGACGAAACAATCAGTTGCTTTGAAGAGGACGAATACGAAATACCCCCGCCGAATCATTTCGATTCCAGATTGGCCGAGTACACATTTTCCGATGTCTCGGATTCAAGCCGAATCCAAGTTGGGCAACAACAGTATTACGAAGAAATCGCTTCTAGGAGGCAGTCTGTTTATAACAACACCTTATCGGAAGGGAGCAAAACGAATAGTTATTTTGGGTCGAGGGATGATCGGGGATATTTTGCTGGATCATCGGTGAAGGAACAAAGAAAATTTTATCCGGTACAAGGAAGTGTTTGTGAAACTTGTTATGATGTGGAAAGAGGGTAAGTTAATTAAATTATAATAACAAATTGATATAAGCGACCTGGTTAGAACGACCAAAATATTTTATTAATATTTTCTATTTAATATATTTATACAGGGTGATTTATTAGCTCACCATCAAACATTGACATATGATAGCTAATCCAATTACAAAAAAAAAAGTTAATGAACATAACCAATAACCAATAAACGTTATTAATAAATTCGCTGCGGAAAACTTTAAAGTGTTATAATTTCGTAAATATTCGAAATAGGACATATGTTCATTAACATTTTTTTTTTTTTGTAATTGGATTAGCTATCATATGTCAAAGTTTGATGGTGAGCTAATAAATCACCCTGTATATAAATGTTAGCAGTCATAGATAGAATCCAATACGAGTTATTCCTGAAGTTGGTCTATTCCTTGTTCATAGATAAACTTGGGGTATTCCCCAAGTTGTCTACAGCGTGTCCCGTATCTTCCGCATCAGAGCATTTTACGATTGTAGAATACATTATTTTGAAGCGATCTTTTTAATAAATTTTTTTCGAAATGTTTATAATAACCGCACGGGAACTGTTTAACGACGACCAATAACGGACGACTTTGATTCACCGAAAAAGATGATTTCTCTTTCCGTGACGAATCTATTGGTGAGTACACGTGGGAAACCAAGGTCCGTCGAGTAAACATACTATATAAGGTTATCCAACTCCCTATAAACGCTGTTGTTATAAAAGTATCCCCTCCGCAAAGGCCCATAGACAAAGGCCTTGTTGTGACGTCATTGGAAGAATTGGCATTTCTGTTTTCATTTATATACGTAAACCAACAGAAACTCTTTATTTTTTGAGTTTAATAACACTTGTTTAATTTTTAAACAATTATTAACATAAATATTATTATTATATTAAATTTATATTATATCATATTATGTTATATTTTTCCTCTAATGACGTCACGTTTCCCACCTCATCGCGCCAACGTCAAGTTGTTCGAGTTGGATAACCTTATAACCAATACTCGACGGACCTTGGTGGGAAACGAGTTATCATCGGCGTAGCGGACCGGCCGAGAGTGGCACCGATTACCTGAGTCTGATTTGCGATCTGCTGATTGGACGAAAAACAGTTCGTTTAAACAGTTCCCGTGCGGTTATTATAAACATTTCGGAAAAGCTTTATTAGAAAGATCGCTTCAGAATAAGGTATCCTACAACCGTATAATGCTCTGATGCGGAAGATACGGGACACCTGTATAGAACAAGTGCCTCTTCTTTGTTCGTCGTTGATAAAANAACCGGAAGTTGACTATAACTTCATTAATATTGAAGATAAATATGTCGTGTTTGTACTCATTTTAAAGGATTTTTAATGAAGATTACAAATATGTCAAATTGAGGTTGACATTTTAAATTTTAAAAAATTATTAATAAAAAATTAATAAAATGTACAACTTCTGACTCGCTAAAATAATTTATTTACTCAAAAAGTTTCATATTCAGCTTAATCTACATATAAATTATCTATAATTATATAAATTATACATAAATTATTTTAGCGAGTCAGAAATTGTACATTTTATTAATTTTTTATTAATAATTTTTCAAATTTTAAACTTACACTCGCAACATGGATGAAAACAATGACATTTTAAACCTGAAGTTAGTTATCAATATTATCATATAACAAAAGTTTTATAACTAAAGTTAATAAGTTTTATTTTTAACCTGTTTTTTGGGTTATTTCACATTGATTACAAAAATTTAAACCACGTGATGATTCTCGAATTTTTCCCAAGTTGCTTGATATTTTTTTTTGTTAGAAAAGAGCGGTCTTAAATTTTAACCTGTAAACTTGTAACACTTGAATCATTCGACTTTAGCCGTCCTATGAGACGCACGGCTAAACCCGAATGTTTCTAGTTCTAGGTCTAAAGTTAGTTCTAGTGACAGTGCAAGTGTAAAACTAGAACTAACACTATCCCTAGAACGAGAATCATTCGGGTTTAGCCGTCTTTAGAGACGTGCGGCTAAACCCAAATGATTCTAGTTCTAGGTATAGTGTTAGTTCTACATAGTAACAGTGCAAGTATACAATTAGAACTAACACTAGACATAGAACTAGAAACATTTGGGTTATGATGAAATAAACTTTCTTACTACACTAGCAGATACTTGTGCAATCAAGTTTCCTATCGATTGAGATAAGAAACAGCTTTAGTTGAAGAAAAAGTCATGCTTTACGAAAATATCTGCAAATAAATTAGGTGAAAAATAAAAGTGCATTTTATTTCCGTCGTATTATACCAAGAGATTATTTGCAATAGTTTTTATCAAACGTTTCAAAAAATATACATAGCATTTATCATGTTCCAATTCCTTTAAAACTATGCAGAAAGAATGATCGTATACCTCAAGATTAGATATAATTTTTTAATACATTTGTTTCATTCCACATTAAGTTTTGTTTTTTGCAACTAACTAAAATTAGGATATTATTACTGATTTCATCACACACATCATCTTCAGGTTCTTCGATTTAAACAACAACCTTAATTAAAAATCTAACGATTAATTCGGTGATTTATCGATTAAAATTCAAGGTTAGTCGAAGATAAATTGGGTTACATTAACACCTAATTAAATTGAATGAGTCAATCTGCCGCAATTGATGATCCAAGCGGTTGATAATATCCCCCGCGTTGGATTTAACAATTTCGAAGGTGTTCGAAGCGGAAAATTAAACCGCTACGGGATAATTTGCCTATTTTTCACCGGATCGCTTTCGCTTTCCTGCTTTGGGTGATGTAATCTGATTATTCACGCTACAAACGAAGCTTTATAAAAAGTACAACAAAAAGAATTTTAAACAATACGAATGAATGGTAAATAATGGTTGCGAATTTTCTATTGTTGGGGGAATTAATTGAAAGTTAAAATTTTTTTAAAATTTTGCTGCGACGCCACTGGGTTTAACAACAACGCGTTGCTAACGAGACGTATTCCCATCTCATTCTTTCTCCTTGTTGAGTTTTTAAGTTGGTTCTTCGGACCGATGGAGGCTCGACCCGGCCATTTATCTCTTTTTCGATCTGAATAGACCTGGACGTTCCCGAACGCTCGACCTGCCAAACGGCCGTGTAAACAAACAATTACCGCCGCGGGTTCTTAATTTTCTTAGCCGCCGCGGCTCTACCATCATCTTCTACCGTTCCAGTTTAACACCGCCCATTTTCGTCCCTTACCAGGTGCAACGAACCACTTTTCTTTATACCATCTAACAATTTTTATACTTACTTTTATTAAACTTTTTATTTTTTCTACCATTACATAAAAAATTTAATAACATTATTTGTAACACGCACAAACACTATTTTTAAAGTGATTTTTCTCGTAAACCAGTATGCTTAGAATTAAAAGATAAGATTTTTTTTAAAACTTGGTATTAAAGAATGATGTCAAAAGATATCAATCAAAAATGACTGAATGGAGGATGAAATAAAAATCTTGTTTTTAATAATGAGTAAATAATCGATTTTTAAAAAGCTGAAATGAGACATCTTAAATTTTAATTAATATTGACGTATGTTTTGTTAACTTAATAAATGGTAACTTTAATGTTAAAATATTTTTAATCTTTATAAAAAATCCTTTAAAATGACACCAAACATGATGAATTTGTCACCCTCAAATCCCTCTTCTTCAGACAGGAACTCGTAGTTCTTATCAAGGTATCTCTCCAAATAGGCTTCGGCCATCTTTGCCAAGAAGTCATCTTGTCAGACTGTCTCATAAGCTTTTTCAGCATCTAATTGCGCCGTTATAGTTTGTTATTTTTTCTTTTCGACAAGTTCTAATCTTTTGAAAGCATCTTCTGTGCACTTTTTGCTTGGTGCAGCGTTTATTTCTGGTGTTTTTGTGGAATTAGTTTGTCCATACAATTTTGCCTTCATGGTTTTGTTGCCGGTGTGATTAAGCGCAGTGTTCCTATAAAAAGTCTGAAATAGCACTGGCTAAATACACTATTGCACTGCTTGATTGTACTAGCTAATCTGTCATTTCAAAATCGTGGGTTGGGTTTCTCCTAGTCTTGATACTCGAGCGGCCGACGTCTTCGAAGTCAGCCGAGGTTACTTCTTATGTCTGATGTAAGCAAGATAAGCTCAACTCCCACGCAATACACTATGTAGTAGGATTTACAAAGTTTTGTTATTCTGGAAATCTAGTCAACATTATCTAGTCAAGTGTTATGAACAACAAGACCACGAGAAACCAAAACTTTGTGAATCCTAATGTATAGAGTATTGCATGTGAATTGAGCCGCCTATATCGCCTAAATCGGACGTAAAAAGTAACCTCGGCCGACTTCGAAGACGTCGGCCGCCACAAGTATCACAATCATCAAGACCACAACAATACCAAAACTTGGTGAATCCTAATACATAGGATCCAAGTATCTAAGTTCTGGATTTGAGACTTTGGGGTTGTCGTAATATTTGTAAGTAAATCAGGTTTCTCCTGGTCTTGATACTTGGAGCGGCCTAGGTTACTTCTTACATCCGTTGCAAACTTGACTTGCACTGATTTCAAGCTGTTAAGCTATATTTTCCAATCTCTAGTCCATTTATTAACTGCCACTTGAAGTTTTACCATAGTTTTCATTTGAGTTGAATCATTTTCCATAATAACTGTGACATCAGCGACTGTCATAAGTACAGGATCGTTTGATATTAAAATTGCTATATCTGACACAATCTAGTGTGACAACCTGTCAAACGTATATGTCAAAAGCATTCTCAATAACGATTATCAGTCTATGCAAATGATATTGTAGGATGGCGATTACTAAGATCTAAACTGGAAATCTGATATGTTGACGGCTGGTTTAAGACATTTTAATAGTAATCTGTCAAACAATTTGGAAATGGTCAATCTGGCCCTGTATCTTCTCATCAACTAAATGCAAATAATTATCTATGCCGTCTTGATATTGCGAGACATGCTTCAGTCTCAAGTAGGCATTAAAGAAGTACGTCAATATAATTATTACCTTTTTTTGGTAATTCTTTTAATAATAAATAAGCAAAGATAAATTTCATCAATTCCAGAAGCTTTTTCCAGAAAACTTCCATTGATGGTGTTTTAATCTACGTATTACTTTCCATAGTGAACAGTCTCTACTTGTTTCTGGGCTTAAATCTTCCCATTAAATTCATTTCAATTATTTATTCTATTTTAAAACCTCGTTTCGTGGTTTCTCCTTATTTTACCACTTATTTAATAGTTACTTTACATCCAGGTAACTTTAAAACACAATGAATCTTTTGTTAAAAAATTTTTTTTTCCATTCTCGTTAACGAGTTCTTGTTACGCCACTGGCGTGTAAGATGAACCTGAGGTGCCCGGTTTACAAAACGAAGAAGAAAAAAGAAAAAAGGTTGGTCAGAGCGGCCTTAGGCACCCGGCTTCAGTCAACTGTTTCACTCCGGCCACCTACGATCTAAAGAAGAAGTTTCTCCCACAAATTTCGCATACCAAAGCCCAATTTTTTGTTCTTCTTTCGACAGTTTTCGCGTTGATTTCACGTCATCACCAATTACGGCTAAACGATGACGTAAATTTTGGTAGTGTTAAATCTATCTCTTTCTCGCGTCACTATTTTTAAAAGCGATCCGGGTGTGAATACTGTGAATGGAATTCGTTGTTTTAAGGTAAATAAAAATAACGTTTTAAGTGAGTCTATAAATAAAGAAATTATTCAACGGATATAATTATTGTAATTGCAAGTTATTGTGGAGGTTCTCCGAAGGATAAATCAAGATAAATAGTGTTTAACTTAACCGTACTTCTTTTCAATGAAAAGTTGAGTTACCTACTTTGAAATACTTGGAAGTAGAAACACCTTAATTGCTTTTGGATGAAGTTTTGTTAGATACCAATGTAACAGGAAGCTTTATTCCTAATCAATTCTAAACCTCATTACCCTAACGAAGTATTTTCGACCACGAAAATACGATAAGAACTGGAGAGCGAACAACAGGATGTGTGTGCGACTAGATTATTTTTGCCCCTAGTTCATTTGCGCGGGTTGACCACCGAAAATGCGATAAGGTCGTATATATAAACTCTCGATTCCAAAAGCTCCCTCTCTTATTCTCTTATTTTCTTCGACTTCAACACAGTTAACAACTATCTTTTACTCGTCGCACATCTCCTGAATTCGTTCTTCAATCATCAAATTACCAAAGTGTAAGAAAGACAATAAAGTAAAAATTAAGCTTTACCGATTGTTGTGTTTTACCATCTACATCCTGACAAAAACTTCGTGTTGCCAAACACGTAGAAAAAACTGGCTGGTGTCACGACATAAAATTTGGTGTCAGAAGTGGGATACTTCGACTACAACAGCGAAGACAACACCTTCCAAGGTTCCTTCCAGTTGGTGGATTTCAATCCTTTGAGCGAGAGCCCGTCACCCAAAGCACAACTGTTCGAGCGTAATTGAGCAAGGTAAGCGATATTTCTTTTCTTTCATCTTTTTGCATTTCTTTTGGTACAAAAACGCCATTCCTAATTCAAACACTTCTTCTATATCAAAACCTTAAAAAAAAAAAAACATATTAAAATGACGAACGACAACATTCCCACTACACAAAAAACGAACGACAACATTCCCACTAATTCCATTACAAACGATCAACCAGAGTTCCAATTAACGTTTCTGTGTTCACTCATTCCCAGATCTTTTGATGGCAAAAGATCAGAATTTCATGAATTTCTCACGAATTGTAATAACGCGGTTGAATTAGCAACTAACACTCAAAAAAGACCCCTCTTAGTGTACATTATTTCAAAATTGACCGGTAGTGTTAGGTCCCAATTACAAGGTAAATGTTATGATGATTGGGATGACTTAAAAGAAATCCTCTGTACCTTTTACCAAGATAAAAAACATTATATTCAACTAATGGAAGAATTAAACACCTTGAAACAAGGAAATTCCGAATCTGTTGCCTCATTCCACGAACGAATAGATAAGTTAACTTCAAGACTCCTTGGTTCAGTTTCTTATAAAAACCTTAATGAACAAATCGGTAAATTTGAAACTATTAAAGAATTGGCTATGAGTAGATTTATCCATCATTCAAAACCCGACATTTCCCGATTCCTTAGAGGACAAAATTTAGATGACATCTCCGATGCCTTACTAAAAGCACTTGAAGAAGAAAGAGCAATCAATATCTCCCACAACGAATTTCGACCAAAATCCAGTAATAAATATTGCAGCTTCTGTAAAAAGAATAATCATAACACAAAAGATTGTTTTAGAAAACCTAAATCCCTAAACCAACCAATTAACTTCAATTCATCTAATCCTTCTAATTCAAATTCATCTAACTTCTCTAATTCTAATTATAATTCAAATCAAAAGTTAAATAAAACAAATGCAAACCCTAATCCAAACGCTAAATTTTGTAACTATTGTAAAAACAATGGACATATAATAAGCGAGTGTCGCAAACGCGAATATAATAACAAACGAAAACAACAAAATAATAATTCTAATCATAATAATTCCGCACAAGTTCATTTAAACTCCAATCCATCCCAAGTGAACGCCTCACTTGTGGAACAAGACATTCGAATGGCGTAAGTAATTCAAATTCCAACATAAAATCAAATTCTAACTCTTCATCGAAATTAACATCAAATTCTAAATCTAATCCTTCATTCGAATCAAATCTGAAAAATTCTAAATCTAATTCGTCATTCGAATCAAAACTCAATTCTAATTCTAAATCTAATCCTTCATTCGAATCAAATCTTAAAAATTCTAAATCTAATTCTTCATTCGAATTAAATCTTAAAAATTCTAAATCTAATTCGTCANCTTCTTTGTTCGTCGTTGATAAAGCAGAAAAATTTAAATGTTGCATACTTAATCTACTGCCTCGGCCGCAAGCGACCTCGGCTTAAAACTTTTTTAATCATTATTTATAAACTAGAAAAGCAGTTAACACACAACTTGTTTATAAAACCGTGCGTCTTCAGAGAGTCCGTTATATCGATGTTTACTATAATTATATTATTTTTGTTACTTTTTAGAGATGTTAACGTTAATTTACCAAAACCAATTATTCCAAGAACTTTATCGGAGCGGCCACAAAGTTCGCAATGTTCAAGCGTAACCAGCGCGGTGATTCATGCTTGTGGAGGAAAATGTCAAACATGCGAAAATGTTTGTTATTATTTTTTGCAAGTAAGTTAATAATAAAAAAATAATAAAATATTAATAACATTAATTTTAAGGTTGCTTTTGTAATGGGAATATTAATAGGAGTGTCATTAAGCATAGCAGGGTCAGTTCTACGAAAATCAGCGGCAAGAAACCTTCAAGTCTTAATTTATATCGGTTCTTTATGTGCGATGGTTTGCTTGTTGTTGTTATGCATTCAATGCCGATCGAAAAGGAGCTCAAAAAGGAGGAAGAATCCCCCAAAAACTACATTAAATCGGTCTCCTATACCGTTAGAAACACTTAACGTTCCAACTTTAAGTTGGAATCAATCACAACTTAATCAACATAACCAAATGAATCAAATTAATCAACTTAATCAACAACATCAACCGTTAATGTCCGAAATTGATCGGTAATAATCATTTATAATTGATTAAATTAATCTAATTAATTTATTTTTATAGTAATCAACCACAATATGTACGGAGATCGAATCAAAACGATTCAATTGAGGAACCGGGGATTCCATGGTGGAGACGGAAAGATATCATTGATAATAGGTGATATTAACTTTAAAATAGAATCGATTTTTATATTTTTCTACCTCAATCATCAACAAAAATTGTAAAAAAAAACTTGTTAATTAACTAAGTATAAGAAATATTAATATTTTGACTTTTCTTATCTAGTCTAGTTATGTATATGTATATAAATAAATTTATAATTGATCTTTTTTGAAATATTTATTAAGGTAATTCCTATTAAATCCACCACAGCAAAAGAACATTTTAAAAAAACGAAATAAATTTTTGTTTTTTTTTTAAACAGTGCGTTTGAACGAAAATCACACAATATATACAAAAAAAATCAATTCAACATTCTCAAATCAAAGCTAAAGGTTCTACATTAATCATCTAACTTCATAATAGCATAATTATCTTATTCATTTAATTTTTTTGTTGACGATGAGTAAAAAACATCCGTTTCATTTTATTTTATTATTTTTTTTTTTTGACAAACATAACCTTAATGTTGCCCTGATCTCGGAAGGTTACAAATTTCACATGATTGAACCGACCCTGGGTTTAAATATGTGCAGAATGAACACGTCCATTGATTTTCAACCGAAAATCCAGTGCCAGCCGTTACGCTACCAGCATTGACACTTCCAGGTCTAAAACAATATAAAGTAGACCAATAAAAATTAAAATTAGTCACCTACCTTGATGGTGGCGGTGAACTTGCAACAATCAACTGCTCAACGGTAGCCCAATGTTCAGATCGCGACCATTCAGAAGCACCCTCATTGTTTTTCGTTCGTATCGCTTCAAGGAGAGGACCCATATATTCTCGCATCGGAAGCATATCCATTGTTGCTATGTATAAGAGTAAATGGAAATCCGTAATTGCCACAACAAACTCCTCCGGACCAAATTGAGATAAATACGTAGATAATGCGTTAAAATCTTGGATGTGACCATCCACCAAACGGTTCTCAATAGGAAACGGTTGTTTCGCCGGGTTTGTATTGAACGTGTACGTTGGGGTTAAAGGAGTTGAAGCGGGAACGTCCAATAAAAGATATTCCACCGGCAAAGGTCTTGCAAGTCTTGATACTTCATTACCATAGTTATCTTTCTCCTAAAAAAAAATTTTTTTTAAGTTATGTTGCTATTTATTGATATTTTTTTTATTTTGCTTATTGAAATTCATTCCTACTTGAAGGCGATTAAAAATTAACTAAATTCACTTACTTAAAGCTATCTTTCAAAGAAATATTTATAAAAATTATTGGAAAAGAACAATTTATAACACCGACGCTTAATTCAATTCAAATATGGCGTGCAAAAAACAATTGAAGATCGCTTTTAAATACTGTCCAAATAATTTGGAATAATTAATTAGTTATTAAAATAAACAATTTTAATGATTGCGTTTTTGTAATGAATCTTATTGCATTTTTAACGCGCATTCGTTTAAATGTATTAGAAAACAACAATTAATAAATCACGCTTGGTTCTATCGATTACCGTTTTTATTCATAGATGGCGCTTAAAAATAAAATTTTTTTTTTGTAAACAAAAATAATATTAATAATTGCGTTTTTAATTCATTTTGTAATAACTCTTATTATATTTTAATGTGCTCATCTAAATTTAAATCGAAATGGTTTTTTTCGAATAAATAATTTTTTTGAGGTTATGTTATAGTTTATAGATAAATTTTACATTTCGCTAAATAAAATTGATTCCTACTTAAATGTTAACTAAATTTACTTACTTAAAGCCTTGTTGAAACACTTTTTTAATAAAAACTAAAAAAACGAAGCGGAATACAACAATTTATAACCGACGCTTAATTTAATTGAAATATGGCGTGCAAAAACAATTGAAGATCACTGTCGAAATAATTCGCAAAGGAATTTATTAAAACCAATAATTTTTAAAATTGGACTTTAAAATTATTTTGTAAATTGTATTTATAATGCGCATTCATTTAAATATATTAGAAAACATCAATTTATAAATCACACTTGGTTTTATTGATTACCGTTACTGTTCATAGATGGCGCATAAAGACTGTCAAATAATTTGTAAAGGAATAATTTCTTATTAAAATAAATAAACGCTTTCAAATTATTTTATAATAAAGCTTAATTATTTTAAATACGCATTCATATAAATGTAATAAAGAAAAATCGTGTTTTAAATCACACTTGAATCAATTAATTATCGTTTCTGTTTATAGATGGCGCTTAAAAACTGTCAAAATCAATTAGAAACGAAAATTTTAATTTCTTAATAAAACAAATAATTTTAATAAAAACAAGAAAGTTTATAAATTATTTTGTAATAATGCAAAAAATCTTTTGTATTTTTAATGCGCATAATAATAAAATGAATAATTAAAGTGTTAAGTTATTATTACTAATGAGAGATGGCGCTAAAAAAACATCAATATTATTTATTTAGAAATTAAAACTTGGAGAACTAACAGTGAAAGCTTTAAGATTAAATAATCACTTTTAATTAATATTTAAAAGCAACAAATTTTAAAGTTTCCTATTAATTTCGATTAATTTATAACAAGAATGAAGTTGCTGACGATGTTGACGTAGTCGTTTAGAGATGGCGTAAAGTGCGATAAAAAATAGGTTGTGCGCGCGCAACTAAAATCGTCGAACTTCTGTGCGGTGGGCCGCCAGTCGTCAACATGATGTGGCACATCGTGTGCAGCGGCCACCGATAATTTTTAAGTTTTATTTTTTTGATTTCTCGTTAAAAAAAAATACGCCGAGCGTGTGTCGGCGCGAAACAATTATTATGTAATATAAATCTCAATTCGTTAACGTTCCGTTTACCGTATCCCCGTTAAAAAAAAATCGCAACATAGTACAAAACCGCGAAATCGAATCGACCAAAAAAAAATTACAAAAACAAAAAGAATAATAATTATTAAAAAGATTTAATAAATAAACGTTACGTATCGTATATCGGATTTATTAAAAGGCTGTGTTACAACGTATAATTTTTACGGTAAGCACCACCAACCACACCATTTTCACCGAATGTCCAGTAATAAATAATGTGTATTTGTGTATTGCGTGTGTTTTTTTAGTGGGTTTTTTGTTGTTGTTTTGTTTGATCACCAAAAAAAAAAACGATAGAAAAGAAGACGATCGATGACGCTTCCTTTAAGGATTTTTGGCGGTAAACCATATTCTAACCTCAACAACATTGTCGCCATGATTTCTTATCACCTTATTTTTTTACAACCGATATCTTAGTTTTTATTTGGTATACCGTTTATGGGGCGTCCATCGAGCCAAGTATCACACACACAAAACGGCGCGTTTTTCCGCGTCTGCGCCTTATTAATACGGCACATAAGGTCCATTATCACTTGTAGAGCCAGAAAATTATTAGTTTCTTCTAATAGTGCAAGTATTTCTACTTAAAAAAATTGGCCACGAACCAAATTAATTGAATATATCATCGTGGTAGAATAAAAAGAAATTTTAAAAAATATTTACGAAAAAGTTGGGTTATGTTTGTTATGAGTTGTCAAAAAAAATTTAAACAAATTATCTAATGATTAAATCATCTAAAATAAAATGATTTAAATCTTTTTAAAAAATGTTGAATGAAGTTTGATTTGATTTTAACGATTATCAAAATAACCCTAAAAAATTGAAAATCATAATTTTCTTGAATTCCCATTAATGAAGATATATCTAAACACAAAAAAAATGTGAAAGTAGGCCGCCAGTTAACGTTTTACATTTCCATTTCCATCTCTCACGTAAATTTCTAAATTTCCGCCTCTTACGAATTCTATTCAAGTCGAGAAATCCATACAAATCCGACAATTACACTTTTTTATCGCATGTTTCAAAGTTTAATGAAAAATACCACTTTTTAATGGCTCAATCAAAATCGCTGTCATGATACGACTTTGTTTCTAAATGATACGGATATCCGAGAAGTGTACAAAAAATATACTTTGAGATTGTGTTTCAAATACCAAAAATAACTTTTTATTATTTATTAGGACATTTGTGTTCAAGAAAATGACATCTGTCAAATTAAAGTTTTTCTTAAACGTCAAAATTAGGATTTAAATTTTGATGATATTGCTAAGAAGATTTCTAACTCACGATAAAGATAAATTTTGGCTTTATTAACAAGCTTTATTTATAACTAGAAGCTTGACAACCCAAAATCAGCGATTTTTTTTCGAAGATCAATGCATTGTTTGATTCCCCAAAGACATAAATCAATGTCAACTTTTGGATTTTCTCGGCATTACTAAAAATCATTTTGGGTCTAATTTGCCTAACAGTGGTGTTGGTGCCCTTACCTCCTGCAATGAGGTTGAGCCAATTTGAATCCCTTGTTGTATTAATTATGGTGATGATTCTCATGTACATTGATTATTAAAGCAGCGACGTGCTGAGGCAAATCATTGGTGGTTGATGTGAATACTTTTTGTCATTAGTACGTTTTTAGTCGGGAAGTCTTCTAAACACTTCACTGAAATTCGATGCAAGACATTTACTGCTAAGTTATAAGGTGTTAGCTGCTCTATAAGCTGCCATAAATAGCAAGAATGCTATACTCTCCAGCACCCCAATTTCTAGCATTTAAAAGTGTTTCTTTTCTTTCTACACTCATACATATTCCTTTGCCTTGGCTGCACGTCTGTCTCGGTTTCTCAATAATATATTAATATTGAAAAAGTTATTGAATGAAAAAATGCTTGAGGCACTGCCTTGGTATACCAAAGAACCCAATCAGATTAAAACAAAGATTTACTGTCTTTCAACACTGATGATTAACAATCAACAAGATGAAAGAATGCCAAATTAAGCCTATAGCAACCCAACCCTTTGTTTTTCCGAATAGAATGGGTTACATTTCTGCTGAGAAACCGCCTATCTGGGTTTTTCTGAACTGATTCTGCTTTATGGATTTAAATATTCTATATAAATCCCGTAGCATTGCGTCGTAAAGCGACCAGCTTCATCTTCTTGATCCTCACGCCATGACATTTCTCCTACTAGACATCTGCCGAGGCATTTAATTATTATTAACTATTTATTATTTAACTATTATTTCTTGTAGTTTTATATACTAGAGCTGCCTCGGCTTCTAATGACATGATAATATTAAAAAGAAACATTTATTTCTTTTAATTTTAAATACTTGCTACTGCCTCAGTAAATAAATAGATAAGATCGTACATAAACAACACAAAAATGTTCGTAATCAAATAAAATTGTTTCCATCTCACCCTATATATGTAGATTGCGGTTAGTTTGTAAAAAGATGACGTTTTGAAATAAATTTGAAGGTTTGATTATTAAATGAATATTAATAATGTCACTTTGACAGTTAATTAAAAAAATCAAAATATAAGACGTTTAAATCGAAAAATATCTTTTTTATAGAAATGGAGTCCGTTGTGCCCGACATCGAGGAGTTAATAGTATGCGGTTATTGCAAGAAAAAATTCAACGACGCCGACCAAAGTCCAAAGTTACTCGCTTGCAAACACTACTTCTGTTTGCAATGTGCAAAAACCTCCCTAAACAAAGGCCACGAATTGTATTGTGTGCACTGTTGGAAAGCTACGGAACTCGGTGATCTAGGAGCAGAAGCTTTGCCAACGTACGGTCCCGTGTTGAGCCTGGCCAAGAGTTTTGCGCAGGCGAAGCTAACCCCAAAACCACCTGACAAACCGAAAGTGGTTTCGGAAAATTGTCACACGCACGCTATGCCACTTGCGTTATGGTGTCATACCTGTTGCGCGCCGGTGTGTCGTGCTTGCGCAACAACCAGCGACCATTCCGGTCATCAGATAAAATCGCACGCGGAAGCGAAGGATCAATTGGTGGCGGAACTACAAATGGACGTAGCATCGATGGGGAAAATTTTAAACGAAATTCAACGACTCGCAGCGCAACAACGCGAATTTTTATTGAAAATTTTAGAAGCTTGCGTGACGTTAAAAACTCACGTCGAAGCGGATTTAACGAATAACGTGTCCCATTTAGAATTATCCGAAATCCGGGATCTTTTATCGAAATTACGCATGAACTTAAACGTAGCCGAGAACCTTTCCGACGTTCACACGTTGTACTCGAGTGTAAATATGGAAAAGCAACGTTTGCAAGTACGCTATCAAGAAATGTACCTACAATGTCAACTCGACGATTTAATTAAAAATTCAACGGTAGTTTTCGACTTCCAATTACTAAAACAAGCCTTAAACAACATTCAAAACGGTGAAGTTGCGTTTCCGGGGAACTCCCGAACTTTACCGCCATCCCAACAAAACCCGATTTTATTCTTAGCCAACTATTGCATGTCGCAACTTTATTCTCGCCACGTTTTGGCGAAACAAGCCCACCAAGTTAACGGAAATTTGGACCATCACTATCATAACCATCATAACGCGATAATTCCGCAAAACTACCACGCCCCCCCACTTCCCCATCTCGTTATAGCACCCCAACAACAAAAAATTTATCAACCAACAGAAACCAACATTCTAGTCCCACCGAATATGATTCATTCCCCCCAAATTCGAAATCCATCAAACATTATTTGCCCCTTGTATTATTTCAACATCGAAGTGAACGGAACGCCTTTAGGAAGAATCGTAATCGAGGTTCGAGCGGACGTGGCCCCGAAAATGGCGAAGAATTTCGATGTTTTAACAACGGGGGAGGCGGGGATGGGTTATAAAGGTTGTTCGATATTCCAATGTTGGGAAGGAGAGAGCGTTATCACCGGCGATTTTGAGTTGAATAACGGGAGAGGGGGGAGATCGATTTTTGAGGAATCGTTTTTTTTGCCCGATGATACCAAGTTGTTAGCGGTGAGAGGGACCGTGGGGATGAGACGCACGCAGAAAAGGCACGACAATTTAGGCATGGTCGGTTCGCAATTTCGAATCATTTTGCAAGAAATGCGGGGATTCACCGGGATTTTCGGCCACGTCGTCGAAGGGCTGGAACTGGTCGAAAAAATCAGCACGTACGGCGATACGGCCGGGAAGCCGACCAAAAACGTTTTGATCACGAAATGCGGAAAGTTAACGGTATAAAATATTAAAAAAAAAAAAAATAAAATAAAAAAAAGTTTAGTAATAATAATGCGTAGGTGTCGTCGTTGTAGCGTAGATTTTTTTTTCATGTTAAACTTAAAAAGAAAAAGAAAAATCGTCGCTTATTGTGTAAAAAGGGGGTTTTCCTACGATGATTATTTTTTAATATATACAATTTATTTTTTTATTCGCAAAATACTAATATTTAACAAATTTGTCTTAAAAAAATAAAATAAAAATGGAATTATAACATATATATATAATATATATACATAGGGTGTTTTTATTTGAACAAAATGAAACACCCTGTATATAAAATTTAAAAAAATCGGAAAACCCCTTTATATAAATAAAAAAAGATACATCTAAACGTAAGATATATCTCTAAGTGTATATAGTTGATAAAAAAATCACGTGAATTATATGTGTACCTTAAAGCTGAAATACGAGCTCGTTTCTAGCTTCTTCGAGAGAAAAAAAAAATAAAAATATGAATACAAAATGAGAAAATATACACTATATTAATAATAATATATTTTCGTATCGTATGGGAAATAGAATCGAAAAAAAAAATGAAATAAATAAATAGAGCCTCCAGATGAAACTATTAATTAATAAATTTATAATTATATTCGAAGAAGATAAAAAAAAAATTAAAGAGAGAGACCCTTATATACCTCCATATATTTCCGTAGCGCGTATTTTTCGGTGTGATAGCGTTCAAGTTTTTCAGATTTTAACTAAAAAAGTAAGAAAGCGACCTTTTTGATTGATTCCAATTTTTTCAAATCCGCAAATATAATATTACAGGACACCTGTATATAAAAGATGAGAGATCAGGTTTGATTCTAGGCGTTTTTTATAAAAACACCCCTCAGGAAGCAAACCTTAAAGTACTAATATATATATTTTTTACAAGATACATCAACCTCCAAAAAAATTAATTAAGTGATTATTACGACGTTGCCTATTTTATTAACGATAATAAAAAATTAATTAATTAAAAAAAAATCGCGCTATGTTTTTCTTTTTGTTCTAATTTTTTAATTTCGCTTAGATTTTAGTTGAATTTGTAATTTTAATTGATTAATTAAAAAAAAAAAAGATATATAAATAACTTTCCGCTCGAAATAAATCGAAATATAAAAAAAAATCGTACAATATTGAATTATTATTACTATATTATTATCGACTTTACTTTTTTTTTGTTGTTTTTATTTTCGCAAAAATCGTTTTCGTTTCGTTTCGTTCGTTGTGTATTAAATGATATAATGATGACGGATATCGTTATTATCGAATCGAACTATGTATCTATTATTATGAATATCACGTTGAATTTGAATTTTTATCGATGGCCTAATCGTTTGTGTATAGAAATAAACGAATCGACCGTAAAAAAATGATACTTGTGTTTTATTTCGAACGATTTAGATTATGTTTTAGTGTTGAGTATCCAGATTAAGATTGGGTAACGAAAATTTGATGAAGAACAATTTTTGGTGTATCAAGTAACATTTATGGAGTATTATGTTGCGCGAAAAATTAGAAATTGATATTTAGTAACCCAAATAATAACTCAAATCCAAAGCAATCCTTTGAATTCCAAACCAACTTGACTATAGCGTAACCCAACCTAACTCCAAAACAAACTAACCCGTTAAAACATCGTTAAATTGGATTACTCTGGGAAACCAACCCAGCTAAGCTTATGGACTAAAACATTTCCCCCTCTACTTCGGAACTGCCTATCAGGATATTTCTGAACTAATTCTGCTTTGCGGATTACGTTCAGATATTCTTCATAAATCCCGTAACCTTGAGTGATCTGCTGCATTTTTTCTCATTCTGTATATTTTTCCTAGTTCTCTTGCTTCTGACTTAGCTTTCCTGCTCCTCTCCAGTATCGCTTGGTTATCTTCCATATTCTTGTCCTTGCAGATGTACGTTCTCATGTATTTCGACATGATTACATGATTTTTCTCCTACCTTGCAAAATCACAAAATATAGTTTGTGACTTCCAACTTATTAACAGCATTACGCTTTCTAATCAGCATAGGCTATCAGACTAACGTCTTCTTTCCTTTTCATTTTCAGATCCCATCGTAAAAAAGACTGCATCGAACTCGGAGTTCCATCAACGTCTTTTATGATATTTATTTATACGAAGTTGAAGTCTTTCAAGGAAGCTGGAAGAGTTAATGTGTATCCAACACGGATCGCCGGAATAACTAAATCATTTCCGCGGACCTTCTTTATCACCACTCTTTTAATCGTTCAATCTAATTCCATCTTTTACGAATAGGGTTTTTTTACTTACTTTATATTATGTGTTTGAGTATTGCCACTTTTATAATACGTCTTCTACTTTGAAGCTTAAAGTAAAGCAGTTCATTGCTATTAAATAAGCCTCATCAATATATCAACCACAACGCAACTAAATGCAACCCTACAGTAAACCAATCCAACATCTTAGTAAGCTGCTCCAAGCACAATGTAACTCAACTAGAACGTAATCTAACTCCATAAAAATCCTTCGAACATCAAAGCAACTTAACCATAAAGTAAATCAACCTAACTCCAGAACAAACCGACCCAGCACATTGTGTTTCATAGTTGGTCTTTCCTATCCTAATAAAGTACTCACACTCATTTTAGTAATCAATGTGAAAAATTCCTTAAAGGTTTAGAGCGCAAACTACTCCCTCATAATAGCCATAAAATCCGCAATTCCATAAATAAATATAAATTTTATCAAAATTTTCATCCAATACGTCAATAAAAATAAGAAAAAATTTTTTATGTTGGCAACTCCGAAACTTGACAATCAAACTGTCAATTGAGACGTTTTGGAGGTTAAAGTTGAAAAGTTTAAATATAAATTTTCGTGTTTTAATAAACCATTTCTTTTTAGGATTAACTATCGTTGCTACAACTCAACCACAAATTAACTGAACACCAGAACAAAACTTTTTTGTACAGGATATCCAATCCAAATGACTTAGATGGTCTTTCCTATCCTAATAAAGTACTCACACTCATTTTAGTAATCAATATGAAAAATTCCATAAAGTTTTAGAGCGCAAACTACTCCCTCATAGTAGCTATAAAATCCGCAATTCCATGAATAAATATAAATTTTATCAAAATTTTCATCCAATATGTCAATAAAAATTTTTTAGGTTGGCGACTCCGAAACTTGACAATCAAACTGTCAATTGGGACGTTTTGGAGGTTAATGGTTTATAAAAAATCAATAAAGAAAACTTTTTTTGTTGCAAATTAATTCCAAAAAGCTGATATAAAGGTTTTTTTGGATTTTTGTTACCCTATACACGCAAATATGCCATAATTGTATCTAAATTGTTACTAGATTAATTTAAAATCAGGAATTCATATTCATCATATTAGTTAAAGACTAATATTTAACCCAATAATAGGTTAACTTTATGTAGGTATAAAAAATCTTACCTTATAATAGACATCTGGAACATACTGTTTATCAGTTGACTCCCTGACATAACCCAATTCTGGTGCATCTTTCGTAGGAACGAGGCAATTATCCCTCACCAAAGCCATACATTGATTACTCACTTGATACCCTTCCATGTGAACTTGATTACTCTCATCACCTAATTAAGAAAAAAAATCATCAACTAAATTTAATTTATATAACAAAATTTTACCTGTTACACAAACAGTAACAAATTTAGATCCAAAATATCCATTAGATGAATATTTCGAAGCATTCGCATGTTCATTTTGAAAATTTCCTGCCATGATACACTCCTGGGCGGATAAAAAGTGAGATGTAGCGTTCCTGAGGTGTTTAACGGTGCCTTTTTTAACATCTTCGGCGACGAGATCAGTAAAAATCCATCCAACTCGTCGTAATCCGAGCGCTGTGGCTAATTGATCCACGATTTCTTCGCGGGTGTCCGGCAACAAACGGACGGAATCTCGCGTACTGTCTTGGGGCGGCTCGTAAATCGCCACAACGTTCGCTTTAATACCCAACGGAACGTCCGAATGAATCTCGTACGTTCCATAAAGAAAACCAATTCTTTGGTTGCCCGTAATTCGCCAATAATTTAAAAAGTTTTCCACCAATTTTGTATTTTCAAATGTTACGTTATCTACGTGTCTATAAACCTAATTAAAATTAAAAAAAAAAAAAAGATTATTAATATGTTTTAATACATGAAATACTACATTAATTTCCTCCTGTAAAATATTTATTTCTAAACCATTACAAATAAGTCGACGTTTCGGGAACTATTCCCATCATCAGGCTTTAATAAATTTCTACCTAAAGGTTATGCTAACATTCGATAACTACGCCTTGTTATGAATTACCAAAAAGACCTGATTTGTGAACATGTTAAGATGCATACCTAAATCAGAAATATAATAAGATTAATAAGAGAGGATCAATAATTATAAAAGTAGTGAAAAGTTGTTGGGTAAGAATCATATTCTGCATGTTGTGATGGTTTAAGGTAAGAAAATAAATGTGTTTTTTATTTGTGTAAAAGTAATTATTTAGGTAAGAAATTTATGCCTGATGATGGGAATAGTTCCCATCAAAATATTTTTCAAATAAAACTTGTTAAGAATTACAACAGGAACAACTTTTATAGGGACCATTTTTTAAAATTACCAATTTTTTAATTTCCCTGTCAACAGTACAGAAATGAAAATCAAGATTATCTTCCCAATTATTGTTTGTATCAGAATATTTTTCAAATAAAACTTGTTAAGAATTACAACAGGAACAACTTTTATAGGGACCATCTTTTAAAATTACCAATTTTTTAATTTCCCTGTCAACTGTACAAAAATGAAATTCACGATTATTTTCCTAATTATTGTTTATATCAAAATATTTTTCAAATAAAACTTGTTAAGAATTGTTGTGGCGAAATTGGTGTAGTATTTCATATAAACAGGGTATTTCAGATTTTTGTAGTAGGACTTTAACAGTCGATAGATCTTTTAAAATTAGCACAAAAACTTCATATAGGTCGACAAACGCTTTGTTTTGAAGTTACAGGGTGTTTAAGTTAAATTTTTTAATTGATTTTTATTTAATATTACACGTTTTAGAATAGTTTTATCTAACTGAAATTTTTCCAATGTATTTATCATCTTCATAAAAAAAATCTAGGCATAAATTGAACGGGGGTGGTTGCGTTTAGTAGTTTAGAAGGGTAGGTTGAAAGTACAAATAGGGTCAAAACATGCCCTATTATGAGTTAAACATATTCCCCAAATTTCATTTTCCTAGCATTTATGGTTTTTGAGAAAATCAAATTAAACCAAAATTTTCCGTCATTTTTGGAGGGGTGTAGCTCCTTAGGGGAGGCCAAATCGCCCATGGTTCATATATTAAAGTACCCTTAAAATTCACTAAAGAATCATCCCTAAAAGTTTGTTGCAGTCATTCAGATACACCCTGTATATTATATTAATGCCTCCATATACAAGGAATTCTAGATTATTAATATGATTATAATTCCATGTTAATTAATTACCTACCTGCCTATTTAAAGTAATAGCATTTGGTTGACATTTCGAACAGATTCCTTTTGGCCACGGTGGATGATCTTTACAACCATTTTTAATACGACAAGAAATGTCTTCTAAAGCAAGAAATTTTCCTCGATCAACTCCCGAAGTCATTTTACGTAAATAAGCGTGAAACGAAAGGTGTTTAATCTTTTGGTCTCTTAAATATTCTTCATCGTAAGGTTCCAAAGCGGAACAATGGAAACATCTCGAATTATTATTATGACGGCAACTAAAATATTTAAATTAAACTAAATTTTAATAAACTTAAACAATTTTAAGTACTATTTAGGATCTCGCTTCCTCTCGATTTTTCCATCCAATTTACTTAATTGAACGTCAACGTCGTCTTCTTGAATATTCGAATTTGATCGATTTTGGGTAAGATTTCCGCTGCTGGGCCTTGAAACAACGCTAAATCCGCTCGATGAAGGAGCTCGATCGTAAGCATCTGGTTCTCCAGCGGGTATCTGGAATCAATGGAAAAAGTCACGATAAAATGGTAACAACTAACGATACATACATTCTTTGCATCAGCGATTAAAACAGTTCCATTTACCGGAGTTAAATAAATCATATCGCCGTGTTTTACGCCCAGACTCCGCACGGTTTTTGATTTGGAACTAATTATTTCATCCTTCCGATTACGTTCTTTGTATAAAGCAAAATCGTACGAGTTTAATCCGAACGATTGATAAACTTGTTCATAAAGTTGGCATGTTAACGACGAGGAACTGACTTCGATACGTTTTGTGCCATCAGCAGACTGTACTCTTAACATCTAAAACGAAATTAAAATAAATAAATTGTTGCGTTAACAGACATAACCTCAAAATGATTCATTTTATTTTAGATGTTTTTATATATTTCTTAAGGGGTTATATAAAATATAAAAATCGGTACATTTTTATGTTTATTTATAAAATAAATAGAAAAAATTAAAAATAAACATTAATATCATACAAATATAAATGACTATGTCATCCTGAGAATAGGGAAATTTAATTTTTGAGGTTAGTTCGCAAGCAGTTTACAAATCTAAACTTTCCGACCGAAATAAACCATTTCAAACGAAACGAAACTCTAATTAAACTTACTATTCCTTTTGATTTAGACATTTTCAGTCCGTTTCGTGTAAAAACTTGAAATTCACTCGGAGAATCATCCACTCAAAACTGCCATACGTAGTGACGTTTACAATTTTATAGTTGGCAAAACTAGGTACCAACTTAAAAATCAAACGAAAAAATCACTTTTTAAAAATAAAATAATTTCAAATAAAGCTGTATTAAAGTTAATAAAGAAAGCTTAAAACATTTCTTATTTATATTTTAAGTGTAAATCGTACAAATTTTTGGCCTGTGAACTTTGTGTAAAAAATAAATAATAAAAACGACATAACCTCAATTATTGACTTTTAGATATAGCCCTTTTTAAAGGTGCCACAGAGGTAGAAGGGCGCAATGCGGGGTCAGCTTCTGATAAAGAACCTCCTGAAGTGTTTCTTAGTTCTTGATTAAGTAGTAAAGTTTGTCCGGATCCGCTTTCCCTGATAAAAAAAACAAATTTAAACATAACCTCAAAAAATTTAAATTTAAGATTAACTTGAGAAGTGTTAATTTTTCGGTGTTTAAAACATCCTCACAACTTGTAAAGACTATCGATCTATAATTTTTCGTTTGTAACGCAGAGTATTCATCTAAAATTCCGTTATAAACTAATAAATCATCTATGAGAACTGCGAATTCTTTGACACCTCTTTTCGGTGTTTTTGAGTAATTCCAAAGTTTAATGAGAGATATTTTCATTGGTTTATCAAAAACTATGTAAACTCTATTTAGACATTTCGGTAAAATTGGAGCTAACCAAGAATGAGCGCCTATATTATCGGTATTTATACCATCGATCAATTTATCTGGAGTTCTTGTGTCATTATCAACATCAGAAAGAACGTTTATACTCTCGGGGTAAGCACAAATATCTTAAAAATATTTCTTTAATTAACAAAATAAATTAACAAATAAATAATTGAATACTTGATTCCTCTAAACGAATTTTTTGCCCAAACTCATTAAAAATTTCCAAACCATTTAACCCACAATAATACTGATCGCCCCACGTTGAAAATATGTTAAATTGGATAACAAATCCTGTTGGGATATCACACGGTTGAAAATTTTCGATATTTTCGACTTCGTTAAAACTAATTTCTTGCATGAAATCATAAAAAACGTTTCCGGGGGCTCGTCTAACCCAAATCTCGTTGTTTAAAGCTTTCCCATCCAAATAAATCTTCATTTTACTAACACCGATGCATGTTTTATCCAAGGAGCGGTTATAATTGTACAATTTTAAACTTGATAAATACGTAAATTGGTTAAATTTAATTGATATTGTTACAAAATCCTCAAAACAAGTTGCATTTTTATTAAAATCGGCCAACCACATTTCATTATCATCGGTTGTTAAATTCTTTTCATTGATTAAAACGTTTAAATTAGTCGATTTAACGTTGCATTGTAAACAATCGGGGTTAAGTTTTAGGATATTTTCACCTCCTTGTACAATTTCTAATCCCGTTAAACCAATTAAGTTGTTATGGCCCCAATTTTCTATTAAGATTATTTTTAATTCCGAAGCTCCAAATAAAATTTCTTGATCAGACGATTTTAAACCGATTAACGATTGTTCTTGTTTAAAAGCAGAAGTCGATGGTCTTTCTAAGTGGTTAATCTTATCAAGATGATACGAATTGGATGTTAATGTTGGATAAAACACGTCGTTTTCAGCGATTTTATCCAAAATTTTTTCGTCGGTTGTAAATAAAATGAGCTAAAAAAAATTTTTCTTTATTTTGAGGTTATAATTTGATTTTTTTTTTCTAACATCACCAAATGCTTCGATACCTCCTAAAATACCTCCGCAAGCTTTTCTGATCTCCCCAATAAAAATTAATGTATCATCTAATTTTATTTCGACATCTTTTGCGCCTCGAAACGAATGTATTCGGGATTTATTATAATTCTAAAATAAAAACATAACCTAGAAATAATATTTACAAGAAATGTCATTAGTATAGGGGAAAACATAAAGAAAAAATCCCTAAATTCTTAAAACCGGCAAAATCTATAAATAATTTAATTATTTAATAACAAATTGAATTAAATGCAATAAATGTGATGATTTTAGGTTGGTTCAATTTTTGTTTAATTATTTAACTAAAAACAAACCCAAATTCCAATCATTGCAACATCTCCAAATTCATTAAAAACATAACCTAGAAATAATATTTACAAGAAATGTCATTACTATAGGGGAAAACGTTAAGTAAAAAAATCCCCTAAATTCTTAAAACCGGCATAACCAATAAATAATTTAATTATTGAATAACAAATTGAATTAAATGTGATGATTTTGGGTTGGTTAAATTACTGTTTAATTATTTAATTCAGAACTAACCCAAATTCTAATCATCGCAACCATTGCAACATTTTCAAATTCATTAAAAACATAACCTAGAAATAATATTTCCAAGAAATGTCATTAGTATAGGGGAAAACATAAAGTAAAAAAATTCCCTAAATTCTTAAAAACGGGCATAACCAATAAATAATTTAATTATTTAATAACAAATTGAATTAAATGCAATAAATGTGATGATTTTAGGTTGGTTCAATTTTTGTTTAATTATTTAATTAAAAACAAACCCAAATTCTAATCATCGCAACCGTTGCAACATCTTCAAATTCCATTAAAATCGTATGATTATGTCCATAAATGAATGGTGTTAACCATAAATGAACGTCATCTTGAGTTTTATTAACACCGTCTAATAAATTAGTTACTATCCGAGGGTCGTTGTTGTATTCCGGAAGGATGTTAACATCGGAAGGATTCGCTAAAATCTTATTAACAGTAAATATTGTAGGCTAGATTTAATTAATTAAAAAAAAATTACTTTTTTAACATTAATTATTCTCCCATCATCACCGTAAATATCGATCCCATTCAAACCGACGTAATATTTATCACCCCAAGTACTTAAAATATTAAAAACTAACATTTTGCCTTTCGGCAAAGTAGGAATAATAAATTCTTCCTTTTTAACTCGTTTTATATCCGATTTAACTTCCTTATTTGTCTTAAAATCGTTTAAATTTAAACTAGTCGGTTTTGGCTCAGACAATCTCCGAGTTTGTTGAATAATCCTTTCATTATCCGTTAATAACTCATGAATGATTATTCTTCGAAATTCCTCTTCTTGAGCAACTTTTAATCGATAATCGTTAACAACACCGTGTTTAAAATCGATTTGTTTAAAATCTTCGCTCGATTTCGATTTGGGGTTATAAATTTGGTTCTTTTTAAAATGATTGTTGTAAACGTAAGAAGGAAGATGATTTGATAATTCGCTTTTAGCACGATTTCTTGGTTTTTCTGACATTTCATAATCTGAAGTAAATTCTTCCGATGATGTAGTTGAAATTTTAGATATGGTTGGAGCTCAAAAAGAAAAAATTACAAAGCAAAATTATTCACAAATATATTTTTGGTTAAATACATTTTAATTTAATTAATAGAAAAAGTTTTCGAAATCTTAATCACTTACCGAGTGAAAAGTTTGGTAAACTTTTAATATTACTGGCACTATCTAAACGACCTTTATGCGATTTTTGAAACGCGTTTAAGCTTTTCCAACTTTTTTCTAACGCATTTTGTTGGTCAAAATCGAAGGCGTAATTTAAATGATCCAAACTTGGTATTAAATAGTTTTCGTTTGACATTTTTACGTTTTTCGGGGTTAACGTTGCTTGAAATCCTGATATTATCGACGCTCTTCGACCGTATTTTACCGGTTGAGATGTCCCTTTTAGCGGTAATTCGTTGGGTAAGTAATCCGGAACTGAATTTGGTTCTAAAATTTTAACTGGACCGAAACTATATTCGTTATCGATAGGAACTTGATTTTCCAATTGTGTTACACTTCTAAAAAAAGAATCGATTTATTTCAAAGTTTAATAACAAGAATTATTTAAAACACTAACCTTGTAATATCTCGAAGCCACTTTGGTATTTTTCCATGGCGCGGTAAGTCCAAAGAATTATATCCTCCACCATCATCTTGGGGGTTATTCATCATTCCCTTTTAACTTATCGGCCGGAATTGTATCATTGGGGGTTTAATTAAAGCCCTGAGCATCACTTAAGTACAATAAGAACAATTTTTTACGTGATAACTTTAAATTTTTTGACATTTAATGTTGGTATAGAAGAGAGTTGCCATGGTAACTATGAAACTTTTGACAGATTTTCAAATATTAAATGTATTATACAGCTGGTTTTTTTTTACTATTATGAAAATTATAAAAATAACAATAATTATCGACTTTACATAATTTTATGTAAATTCAAGGATTGTTTAAAAAAAATTTATATAAAAAGTAATTATATAACCTAAAATTAAAGTGAGGTTATGTTCGTTGTTAATTATACAATGATTCTTATAAAATAAATTTATTTTTAAAACAACAATACCTTTATTTAATTAATTCTTATTATTTTCATCCTCATTGTTTATTTGTTCAGCTTCACTTTTTTCATTATCCTCATCTTTTTCATTATCATCACATTTTCCATCATCATCATCGTTTTCATTCTCCTCTTCATCATCACTTTCTTCACTGGATGATTTCTTTTCGTCTTTATTACCCCTTTTCCGCTTCAAATTCTTCTTCTTTTTCAACCTTTTAGCACGTTTCTTAGCGGTTTTTTGTTCCGCTTGGCGTTTATTTTCCTCTAACTTTTCATGATACTCATTTTCCAACCGTTCTCGTTCTCCTTTTTCCTTCATATACTTTTGCCTTGCGTACTCTTTTCTTCTTAGATGCCTATAAACGTGGAATTCACCTGATCCAGCTCCAGCACTCGATCCCATTACGTTTCTTACAAAATCTGGAACCACCGGCATTCCGCGTTCTTTCGGACGCTCCGGTATCATTATAGGTTTATCCTAAAAGATTATTAGTAATATTTATTTCGTAACATTTTTTTAGGTTAAAATTAATTTACGGGATTTTTCATTAATTTTTCGAGTTTTAATCGTTGCACATCTATAGTACTTCGTATTACGATGGGTTTTTTTGATTCTTCATCCCCGCTAGACATTTTTATCACCTTTAAAGTTGTAAATTTGCAAATAAATAATTATGAGTCAACATAACCTAGAAACGTCAACAAAGTGCTTTGTGGCGCCATCTACCCATGACTAATTTATAAAATTAATTCAATTAAAATTATCGTTTATTATTAAATTAAATATTAAATAATCATACATATATTAATAAATTAATATTAATAATATAAATTAATTAATCATTAAAATGACATTGTAACATAACCTCAAATTAAATTCATTTTTGTTATATTTAAACAAACTCCACAGAATAATCGTAATTTAAATTCCTACTTTCCATATCTTTAATTTCGACGATATCGGTTTTAAGCTTCAGCTTTAAAATCTCTCTCCAAATTGCGTTGCGATCATCCGAGTCAATAATGCCGATACGGAGTAAGGTATTTTCTGTGATCCTCAATAAACTCCGGCCGGTTATTTCATGTTGTGCGAACATTCCGAGATATTTCTGATAGTCCGCGCAATGTCTTGCGAACCATTTTCGCACATCAGCCGCGCTCCAAGCGTAAATAGATATAGGCCTATTGGTTCTAACCTAAAAAAAAAATCTTAGAACTAAGTTAATAAAAAATTGTTTTATACTTTTGATTTGTTGCTTGTATTTGATGTATCTTCGACCATCGTTGAAAGGAAAGTTAAACGATATTAATTGGAGGCACAAAAAAAAATTATAACAAAAATTATGTTGTCGTTGTGTTATAGGTTATGTTACAAATGAAGGGAAAATTTTTAATATTTCGAGATTAATTTTAGAAAATAAATGATTTGGGTTTTAAAATTAAATTAAAATTACTTTGTTAAGGAGTAATTAATTATAATAATTAAATAATAAGAGTACTAAAAAAAAATTGGTAGGTACGCAACCAAGTTAACTATGAGGTTAAAAAAATGCTAATAAATTAAAATAGATTAGTTTACTATTATCTATATTAATTAATTAACACATACTAAATATCAATAATATTTTGAGATAATAAAATAATTCCAGCAGAAAATTCTAGATTATTACTCTATTGACATTAATATTCGGGAAAGTTCGAGAACAATCGGGAAACGATTGTTCTGGAACCACACCCGGCCTATATAAACCCCGGCCACCTCTAACCGGGTATCAGTCTTCATTTGACAGTCGAAGTGAAAACATCGTCTCTCAAGACATCTCTTCGGTTTTTATTAAATTTTCGCCGCTAAAAGTAAAAAAAATGTCTCTCCTCCCGTTCTTTTTCGACGATTTCGCCCATCATCGTCCAACAAGGATCATCAACCAACATTTCGGGCTCGGTTTGGAGCCGGAAGATTTCATGATGCCGTCTGAATTCCGGGTGTTACCCCGAATCCCGAACATTTATTACCGGCCATGGAGGAGCCAAGCCGGGGAACGCGACGCCGGATCGATGGTTTCCTTCGATAAGGATAAATTCCAAGTTAATCTTGATGTTCAACACTTTAAGCCGGAAGAAATCACCGTGAAAGCAACCGGCGATAACACTATTACCATCGAGGGAAAACACGAGGAAAAAGAAGATGAGCACGGTTATATTTCTCGCCAATTCACGAGGAAGTATATTTTGCCGAAAGGTCACGACATTCAAAAGGTCGAGTCGAAATTGTCTTCGGACGGGGTTTTGACCATCACCGCTCCGAAAATCAATCAGAATGCCATTGAGGATCATCGCGAAATTCCAATTTTGCAAACTGGGGCTCCGCTAAAACCGGCTCTCAGACAAAATTCTAACATTGCCAAAGAAGAGGATAAGAAAGAATGAAATTACTAATATTAACACGTTTCATTCCGATTATTTTGTAATATTTTCGTATTAAATGTAGTTGTAGATTTCAATGTATTGTAATCATTAAAAATAAAGTTAGCTTCATTCATTGCAATACTTTTTTGATTTTTATTACATCCTTTTATTAAAAAATATTTGAGTTGGTAACGATGTTCTAGAAAAAACGAACCTGATCGGTGATAAAGAATATTGTGTTACCAACAAATATCATATGACAATAAAAAAGATACCTTATAAAGGTATTTTAATTCGCAATTAAACGTAAATAGAGAACGTGTTGTTGTTAGAGTAAATATTATTGACCTTCACAACGTTATTAACCGGTTTACATAATTGATAATGAAACCAAAAGGATCAATGCAAAGGCCTACATAACCTACAACGAGACATGTCATTTGTGACTTATAAACTAATACATAAAATTAACTAGAGATGGCGCTAAATGTGTCGATAAGGTAGAGATATATCGTTTTATAAATTTTTAATTAATTATAACGACTTTGTAAGATCTAACTAAGAATTTATTCGCAAAATTATAGTTTAAAATCTTCTCATTAAAGCAATATTAAATCTATTTTCTTAGAGAAAAGCTAACATTAATAATTTGACGTTTTGCTTTGACATGAAATGTCAAAATCGAAATTGATTAAAATGTAATTTGGATGTTGGATATAAAATTAGAAATTAATTGATTACGAATTAATAAGGTTGTTGATAAAATCAGAAAACTTACCCCTTAAAATGCTGCTGCAATTTCCTACTTCTCCTTCTCCTTCATCATACATGCAATTTTAGTTTTTCAACAAAGTTTTGTTAAATTAAATATTGAGATTTTTGAGGTAACGTTAAATTGTTAGTTTCAAGGTTATTACTTTGTCCAGTTTTCAAAAAGTGAATAAATTATGCATTTTTTAATGCAATTATTAACGAATGACTCAAACTTGACATCGATGTGAAGTTAGTGGATGTCAATCACACATCTGAATTATTTCAAGTGACAGTTAAAAATGAAATATTTTTCTAACCTAAAAATATATATTATAAATAATTAATTAACACATAAAAACTGATTGTGGATTGTAATCATAAAAACTTATTTTCGTGTTCCAAAAATAATTTTTTTTTAAATTTAAATGTCTGCATCAACTTTTTTTCTAAGGTGGCAACACTGTCTCAAAATGATTTTTAGGTTATACAAAATTTTATGACTTTTCGATGAATAATTTATGTTGTATTAATTTTTTAAAACCACAGATTCAATTAGAACGTTTTCTTGGTGGCGGAGTCAAAGAAAAACATTGTTTTCTCCTAAGTTATTAAGAATTATGTACATTTTTTGAGGTTATAAGGAACGTTTGAGGTTATGTCATACAAATTTCTTTAAAAAGAATTTTTCAAGAGAAAAAAGCACAATTTATCGTATCAAAATGTGACTTATCAGTCAGGTTTCATTAATAACCATATGGTACCATTATCGAATATTCTAAAAATCAGTGTTCGTAATTATGGGAAAAGGGTAAACAGATAAGAGAAGGAAGAAAGCTTAAAACATGCTTTTATCTGTTAACACTGATGTTATTCAGTGCATAATGTGTAAATCTCTTGATTGACGCGCAATGAATAGATTTAATAACCAAGGGAATAAATCTTCGGGAGTTAGTTTAAATTCCGATTATGAGAACTCCGTTATGGTGAGTAGCTAATAAAAATAGATTGTATATCATATAGTATTAATGATAAAACGAAATTGGTCATCATAAATCTTTGTAAACTTTCGGGTGAAATAATCCTTCCCCAGATCGCGTTTTAGTTTGGTTTTTTCGCCATGAGTGTTAACACAACTAAGCTTTCAATTTTACAAGTTTGATCTTAAAAATTTCTTCTTTATATAACTTTGATTATTATTTTTTTTTAGATTGATATCTCAAATTCAACATTCATCAACGAAATATGGCTCGTTACCGATACAAGAGAGATTATTATAAAAACCTCGGCTGTTTTACCCGTGGTTTTATGGGGAATTTTCGGAAATATATGCCTTTTATACATAATCATTAAGTTTCGGCATTTAAGGAGCCCCACTAATTTATTGATTGGAAATATGGCAGCGGCCGATTTGGCTTCTTTGCTTATTCATCCTTGGGTAGTTTTGGTTTACGATTTTTTTCAAAATTATCAATTGGGGGCTTTCGGATGTAAAGTTGAAGCGGCTATCGAATGTAATTAAATAGATTTATTTATATTTGACGTTATTAAACACAATTTTAGCTGCAATTTTGATGACGAGTGTTATAAATTTAAGTGCGATTAGTTACGATCGATTAACCGCGATAGTTTTACCTAAAGAAACGAGATTAACAAGGAAAGGAACGAAGATTTTAATGGGAATTACTTGGATTGTTGGGCTAATCATTGCTTCACCCCTATTTTTTTATCGAACTTATAAAGTAATATTAAAAATTTTAATAAAATTTTGTTATATTTATTAATTTTTTTAGGAGCGCCAATGGTTGGATTTCTTAGAAAAATTTTGCAGTGAAAACACGATCGTAATCAATATTTATTGGCACGTTATCATAACAATTTTGTTTTGGTTCCCTTTAATCATCATGTTACTTTGTTACATTAGCATTTTTATTAAAGTAAGTATCCAAAACGTTCCAACACTTAAAAAAAAATCTTTTTCGCTTTTTTTAGTTAACCAAATACGATAAAGTAATGAAACAACAATTAAAACCATCCCGAACAATCAGTTACAAAACAAAAGCGATCAAAACAATGTTCATCGTGGTCGTAACATTCATGATTTGTCGACTCCCATTCACAGCGTTAATTTTTTATAGAAACTACTTACTAAAAAGTAATAGCATTTCAAGTCAAGTTCAAAATCAAGCCAACGGAAACTATGAAACGTTATGGTTCGTTTCGAAGTACCTGGTTTTTGTAAATGCGGCAATTAACCCGGTTATTTACGGTTTAACTAACGAGAAGTTTCGGCGCGCTCTTAAATCGACGGGGGTTGCTAAATTTTTGTTTAATTTTAGCAAAATCGAACGAAAAATGTGCTATGAAAATGATCGGCATCGAATCATTAACGAAGAGGAAGAACCTAAGAAAATTTTCACCAAAGAAACCGTTTTGAATTATAGTAATAGGATTTTTGTTATTTTTAAAGGGGGACGTGGGCAAAAATATGTACCGGAAGTGGATACTTCTCAAACGGAAATTCAAAAATATACATTAAAATAAAATGTGTATCAAATTAGTAGTTTTATTTATTAAATATTGAAAAATATTTCAAATAATAGATATTTATGTACCAAGTCTGCATCATGGAGATCGAATTAAAAGAATTGAAGAAATTAAAAAGGACCACCTCTCATAAAGATTACCTCTGTTTTAGAAGATTACAAACAATTCCACAACTTAATGACACGAGAGAAGGCTGCACAATAAATTACATCAGTTTTCGTTGAGTCCGCTATCAAAGCTACCACAAGAAGGATCAATACACTCAATGTTGGAGGTGCCGGGAGTACAGCGAGTTCTGCAAAAACTCCCCAAATGCCTTAAGTGCAAAAAAACACCTCACTTCCAGGTACACGAAACTACACACTGCAAACTACCGAGAGATCAAAAAAGCCGGTCCGCTAAAAACTACTTTCCCCAGCGCTTGATACCAATACTTACTCTCCTCGTCACAGCCTCCTCCCATCTCTACTTGTTTTTAATTTTCAACGTTCTTATTGGTCGACGAGGTGATATCGATTTTTAGTTTCAATGGTTTCGATCAGCTGAGCTCAGAGCAGCTCAGAGTCGTGTTCTTGGTTTTGGCGTTTGGTGTTTTCAATATTTCATTATGAATTTATTGCGGTTTTATTTAATGTTATCTGTCTTTATTAAGACAAAAATTCGATTGTGATTTTTCTCTAAGGTAAATAATTATTTTATTTTAAATCGGTTTGGTATAAATTTTGTTGATTTATTTTTAGGTTAAATCATACCGTTCACCTTAGAAGAAGACAAGTTTCAAAGTTTCTTCTCCAATCTTATCTTCGAAATGGAGTAAAAGATCAAAATGGGATATGAAAATATTCAACAAGTCTTTGTGTAGAGGAATTTAGGGAGACATGCCTGGAAAATGTAGTGAATTACCTTATGTCATGACTCATGACATTAGGAAAGTTGTCAAAGTGCTTTGTTACAAGAATTCATTGAATAATTACATGATGATGAATTGGAAGAAGGATTTTTTCAACATGACAATGCAACTACACGAACAAACAAAAGATTCCTTCATTAATTTTATGATGATTGAGTAATTGGTAGAGGATGTTGGCCACCTCGCTCACCCGATCTAACCCCACTAGATTTCTTTTTATTCGGTCATTTCAAAAATTCTGTCTACAAAAACCGTTTACAGACCATAGAAGAATTGGAAGATGCAATACGACACAATGTTCAACAAATAACTGCAGAGCCTGCAGAGCAACTTGTACAGGTCTTCGATAATATGAAAAGAAGAATCACTTTATGTTTAGAAAAGAATGGTCAAGATTTTGAATTCGTTTTATAATAAATAAAACTTCTAAACCTTTATTTTTATAATAAAATAAAAGATCTTTTTTTGATTTATGAAATAAATTAATTACAAAAGAATAGTTTAAAGGCTTTTCTTTTTATTAATTAATCCTTTTTAATTATTTTCATCATAATTTAAATTTACATCCACCAATCTAACTCCAGAGAGAATTTATTTCGAATTTTCTTTAACGAGAGTAACATTTTTAATTTTGTGCGTGTCAGTTTTTAAGGTTATGTTTACTAAACTAAAAGTTGCCTCCCATTTCCCCACCACTATTAAAACAAGTGGAAGGAGGGTGTGACCGCTGTGACGAGGGCAGTAAGTATTGGTATCAAGCGCTTGGGAAAGTAGTTTTTAGCGGACCGGCTTTCTTGATCGCATTGTACAAAGAGTACGCACACCTTCCGAAAAGTTACTCAAATACCGACCCGATTGGGCTCATCCAGCTTATCTTACAATCTAGCAACGAAAAACCTTACCCAGCCTGATCTTGAACTCCTAAGCAAAACCCGATACTTTCTAGTTCTAGTGTTAGTTACCACTAGACCTAGAACTATAAACATTCGGGTTTAGCTGCACGTCTCTAAAGACGGCTAAACCCGAATGATTCTAGTTCTAGGTCTTGTGTTAGTTCTAATGATAGTGCTAATGTAAAACTAGAACTAACATTAGAACTAGAAAGTATCGTAACCCACCCTCTGCTCTGGTAAACAACGACATTTTAGTCGTTGTGCGTCAAAAACCTAGCACGGTCGATGACGTCACAAAAAGTGACGTCACGTCGAATCTTTAAAGTGATTATTTTTATTTGTAATTGCTTACTTGATGATTTCCCGTCGATTAAAAAAAAATCTTAATTATACCAAAATGATTCAAATTTTATAATAACATTAAGTTTTGAGTAACTCACCTATATTTTCTTTATCCTACAGAAAAATGAGAGGTTAGGAACCTTCTTGGAGCTGTAGCTGCATCATTTGGGATCCATAACATCGTTAAGAAAGCCTCATCATTAATGGACACCACCTACATATAAAAATTATTATAAAAAAGTACATTTATTAATTACATTTTTATAACAATCATTACATCCCTTGCTGTCATTTCATTTTTCAAAATGAACTAACTTCACTCCTATTTTACACATTGACAAATTTGACACATTTTAATAGACCTTTTACTATAAATATAATAGACATCTCACTCTATTATAAATAAAATTATTATTTATTTAACAACGAAAAGTTTAAACAACAAATTTTGAGTTAAAGATCATATCTTCAACTAGTGGAACGAGACCGGCTTTTTCCTTGACTTTTTCTTTTTAATTTCTCAAATTTTTTTGATTTTCGGTTTGATGATCGAGATCGTGTCCGCGATCTCGATTCCGTATCGGTTGTATCACTTGTACTTCCAGTATCGAAACTATCATCTTTACTCTCACTATCTTGCCGCTTAATGCGGCGTTTTCTTGGTTTCTTAGGGGCAGCTCTCGCGAGGGCGTTATAAGGCGCTTTTTCAGCTTCGTTCATGTTCCTCCAAATTTTACCAGCTTCGCGGCTACTTTCCATCAAAGACATATTCGAATGGTTCCTACGAAACTCCGCAAGGAACACTAAATAAGGGTTTCTGTACGATTTTCTTTTAGTTGAGGTGGTTGATGAAGCTTTTTTCCGTTTTGTTTGGCTTTCCTTTTTTTCGGGAGGTTTTGTTGGAGATTCTTCATTGTTTAATGATTTACTTTTTAAAGTGCGATTTTCTCTGTTCATCTTTTATAATAAAGTTGGGCTTAGTTGTTGCACAAATTAATTTTTTTATGTTTAATAGCTATAAAGAATAAATTGACTGAAAAAAATCAAATGTCAAATAAATTAGGTTGTCAAAAAAAAATCTAGTTGATTCCATAAAATTTATTTTTAAGTCAACATTGGGTATTTAACTAGTTTCCTGGTTGCTCTTCGTCTATTTAAAATAATTATTTAATTTACCACTTTCGTACAGCGCTTTGACATCACTTCCTCCTCCCAAACACTCCCCGTTCACGAAAACTCTCGGAACGGTTCTTGCCCCTGTTATTTCTTCCAAAACGTTTTGTATGTCGTTCGCATCCTGCCTCATATCCAACTCAATCGCTGTGTATTTTTTATTGATTTTATCAAAAACCTACAATTTCAATAAAAATTAATATAAATAAAAAAAAGATCACGTCACATCACGCCATCTATTATCGAACTACTAAACTTAAGCAACATAACCTATCTTTACATAATTTATTCAATAAATACTTACATCTTTGGCTAATTTGCAATAGGGACAATAAGATTTTGAAAAAATGACGATTTTGTCACTTTTAATAACATCTTTAACGAAAACGTACGTTGGAGTAGACATGGAGTAAGCGGCCTTGGAACTAGAAACGCCCATAATTTTTCATTAGAATTGGTTTTTCTGTGATATGAATAATTTAGAGCAATCGTTAAAATTCAATTAGATATTTTTGCACTGAGAATTTTAACGACGCTTGGTCGAGATGTTCAAAAATTGGAAAAAAAGCAACTTGTCAATGTTGACATGATGTGCCAAAAAAACAAAAACAGAGTTTTCATCTAATCTTCTATGAAAACGTGGTAATTTAATGCGTACTCACCCGAAACGAATTAAATTCAAGTGTTAACGTTTAATTTTTAATAAGAAATCGGATTTAGAACGATTTCAAAGGACAATTCGTACCACAACAAATTTCCTTTCGATTAACAGTAAAAATCGATTTTATATAGATAGGCAACCGAAATGCTTCAAAATTTTGTAGCATACCTTAATTTTATAAAACGAAAAACAATGAAAAAAATCGTAACAAACAATTATAAAATTATTTAAAAACCAATTATATTTTCGCAAATTAAATGATTTTTATAAATAAAGTAATATTGGACATTCACTAACAGATGTCGCTAAAACGTCAAACAATTCCTTTGACAATTCGCAAAACTCCATATTGTCATTAGTGTCCAATTTTATCCTAAATTTTAACGCAAAAAATTATCAAAGCCGATAAAATCTTTAAAAAGAACCTCGAATTTACCTTAAAAAAAAGTAACTAGGAACCAAAAAGTCACCAAACCCACCAAAAAAGGCGTTTAAAATCAAATTAAAAAAAAAGTGAGGTTATGTTATTGTTTATCCTAAAAATCCAAATATATTTATGTTGATATAATCGTAAGAAAAGTGTTTTTGGTTATTTTCTCAATCTGGAAACTCAGGAAATAGTTTATTATGGTTAAAATCGATGGTGGATCGATGTTGCTATGGCCGAGGATCAATCTCGACCCCCGCAAAAACCCTACGATTATTTATTAAAATTTTTATTAGTTGGTGATAGCGATGTTGGGAAACAAGAAATCCTTTCCGAATTAGATGATGGTTCATCTGAGTCACCTTTTTGCAACGGAACTGGTATAAAATTCCCAAAAATCAATAACAAATTTTTACTTGTTAATTTTTAGCTTATAAAACGACAACGATTCTATTAGATGGAAAACGGGTCAAACTTCAATTATGGGATACATCCGGTCAAGGTCGTTTTTGCACAATAATTCGATCGTATTCGCGAGGAGCTCAAGGAGTCCTTTTAGTTTACGATATCACAAATCGTTGGTCATTCGATGGATTAGATCGATGGCTTAAAGAAGTTGAAGAACACGCGCCTGGAGTGCCAAAGGTTCTTATTGGAAATCGACTTCATTTGGAATTTAATCGTAAAGTTACTGAAAGAGACGCGCGCCAATACGCCGTTAAGCATAAAATGGCGTTTTTCGAAGTTTCTCCTCTATGTAACTTTAATATCATTGAAAGTTTCACTGAATTATCCCGAATGACTCTACAACGTAATGGTATGGAACGGTTATGGCGCTCAAATAAAGTGCTGTCGTTACAAGAATTATGTTGTCGTTCGATTGTAACACGAACGACTGTTTATGGTATTGAACAATTACCTTTACCGTCCAGTGTAAAATCTCATTTAAAATCGTACGCGTTAACGACGTATTCATCGCAACAATTAAAGTATTCGCACAGTCAGCGCAAATTTGGGGGTAAAAAGCGGTATTTAAGTACTCCGACGTCGCCGGGAGGTGAAAATCCAAGCTGTGTACCAAGAAATTCGTGTGTTTTATCATGATTTAAGATTTTCTAGTCGGCAACGTCTTGTTTTTTTATTAATTTTATTTGGTCGAAATTCCCAAAAAGTTTTGTAAATAATTATTTGATAAGTATTTTTCAATAACTTTGTACATAACCTAACTATAGCTTAATAAATTCATTAAAAATACTTAATTGAAGTCTTTTAAGCTTTAAAATAATATTAACTTAATTTAAATCGATTAAATGTCAATTTGAAAATAGACATTTAATCGAATTTTGACAACTTGATAAAATAAAATTTTGGTTTTCGAAATATTATTGATCTAAAATTTGAAAATTATGCATTTAAATTAAAATAAATCTAATTAAAACTTAATGTAAAAATCAATTATTAATGTAATATTAATTAATTAAAAATTAAAAACATTAAAAAGAAAAGTTACTAGATTTCTAGTTATTTCCCTAGATTTGTTCTTCTTTACCGACGCGAGTATTCTGAACAATATAAAATGGCGTTGATTTGTAAGAACGCGTTTTTCAATCAAATTAAAGAATAATCCGAGAATAATGAACCATAATTGTTCAGTTTTCCTATAATATTAAGTGATTTGTATCGATTAAGATATAATATACCACTTGAACTATTGTGATAAAGTTAAAAAGTGCACGTGTTTAAAAAGTGAGGTTAAGCGTTCAAGATGGGTGTTATCAGCGAAATTTTAGAAGAAAACGTCTCAAAAGCGTCCAAATTTAAATCAATCGAAGTTAACAAGCCTATAGACGTCGATTACGACCTGGGAAACCTCTTAGTTATTGACGGAAACGAATTAGATCAGCAAAAAATTTTGAGGTTAGATATCATATTTAAGTTAGTATTTAAATAAATTCATTTTAATTTCATTTTGCAGTAAAGATTGTGACGATTACATCCTAAATTTAACCCGAGATAACGTACAATTATTAGTAAATCAAATTTGGACTTTAGAAACGGAACGAAGAGACGAAGTCATCGTCGCGAAACTTCCCGAACCCACATTTCCATTACCCAGATCGAGACCAATTCCAAAACCAAAAAAACCGACTAAATGGGAACAATTTGCAAAAGCAAAGGGAATCCAAAAGAAAAAGAAATCGAAATTATCATGGGATGAAACTTTAAAACGTTGGGTACCCCTATACGGGTACCGCAAAAACGCCGCCGAAGCCGAAAAAAATTGGGTCATTGAAGTGCCCCAAAACGCCGATCCATACGAAGACCAATTCGCTAAAAAACAAGAAGTTAAATCGGAAAAAGTTGCTAAAAATGAATTTCAAAGACTCAGAAATATCGCTTCGGGTGTTAAAATTCCTCGAACGGGGGTTATGCCACAAATTGGATCGTCGAAAGATTTAAATATAGCTGCAACGATCGCTAAATCTTCAACAGCAAGCTTGGGTAAATTCCAAGAGACTTTGCCGAAAGAGAAATTAGCACGTGGCGTGTCTGAAGTTCTTCCTGGAGCGTCTCGAAAGCGAAAGATGACGCATTCTGGGGGTGCCGAAACTGAATTAAAGGATAATGTGAGGATTTTTGATGAGGTGTTGAAGAAACGGCCGAAAATTAACGTTGAAAAGGCTGTTGAGAGGAGCGTTGGAGAAAGTGAAATTAGAAATCGGAGGAAAAATAAGAAAAATGATCAGAAAAAGAAGCCGAAAGGAAAGAAGGGTGAAAGAAAAGGAAAGAATTCTGGAAGGAAACGTCGTTAGAAATAAGTTTTGTTTTATTTAGATTAAGCGACATATTATGATAAGTTTTTTAGGGTTACATTTTGATGTTTTTAATATTTTTTTGTAATGAAAAAATTATTAAAAATAATTATTGGTCCTTGATTTGAATAATATTTATGTTTTTCTTTGATTTGTTTTAAAGATGTAACATGTAATTTTTGTTTTGAAATCTGGAATCTATTGTAAATAAATAATCATGTGTAAAAATGTGTTTTCTATAATAATTCTTCAAGTGTCTAAAGTTGTGTCATATGGACCACTAGAATGGTCGCCATGATGGCCACCATTGATTATGACTAGCATGTTTGCTTCTACACAGTGGTATAGTCTAGATGGACCACTGTAAACAACAGGTGCTGTTGACGACCGAGATGGTTAAGCAATGATGACCCACTGTGTGGACATGCCACTGCGCATGATGTCGCCCTTTGAAGTGTGGTGTCCAACCGCTCCCAAACCCATCCTTTGCCATTACCATCACCATTATCCACTACTTATGGCCACTTCAGGCCATCACCCCTCTACACAATGGCGATGGTTCCCAGTGGTCCATGATAAGCTATAGAGTCTAAGAAATAGATGGCATTTAATTTCATAGTGCAGTCTAAACTATTATAGCTATGGTGATGGACATTATGTTATTTCCAACGATCTGGAACCGTCGTTCATTTTGCTTCTCTCAGGATAAACCATAACTATATCTTTTCCACAGTGTTATACGGCATGGAATCCTGTCATGAGGAATCAACACCGATATTTCCTGCACCAATTCATAATGCAAAGGAAACCCAAACGAAAAAGAAGACGCGGCAGAACAAGAATCTCGTGGCTGCGGAACCTTAGAACTTGGTTTAGAAAAGCTTCAGCAGAATAGTTTCCAGCTACTGTCAACAAAATCATAATTGCCAATATTCGGATGGGATAAGCATCTCAAGAAGAAATATTGTAGCGGTTGAAGTTTGCGGTTAACTGTTGGATGCAGTTTTAAAAATCTTATTCAACAGGGCAGCTAAGTAAAAGGTGACCAATTTGGAGTTTTTGACAGCGTCGATGTATCTTGACATAACACAGTTTACGAAAAGTAACTGAAAGACAATTTGACTAACATGACAGGAACACATTTTGAGAAATGATTCGTGACAATTTGGGACTTGAAAAGTGCCTGGAGTGTTTTGCATGATTATCATGTAGTCCCTTAAAAAACGTCATTACGACCTAGTTTACGCGCTATGTATCCAATGGGATTGTGTACATTTGATCAAACTCATATACTATACAGATTCCAAACAAACTAAAAGAACAGTAATTCTAAAGATAAACGGATGAAAATTTCCAACACTTTTTGACATTCTTCAAAAACTTTCTTTATAAATTTTGACACTGTATGACACTTCCTAACACTTTTTGATGTCTTCTGACAACACTATTTACTATTTTTGAAGCTATTGACACATTTTGACATTGTATGATACTTCCTATCACTTTTTGATGTCTTCTGACATAATACTATTTGCTATTATTGAAGCTATTGCCACCGTTTCATACTTCCTATCACTTATTAACACTTCTTAATACACTTTGACGCAATTGAACGCCATTGATGTCTTCTGACATTATAACACTACTGATATTGTCGACGGTATTGTATTGATATTACTTTACCTTACCCAGTGGGACGCAGCCACTATAAAACCTCAGCCTAACTCACTACTCCTCTCCAGTTCTCCCAGCAGAGCGCTCTGTGTAATAAGATACCTCAAGCACCCTACTTGTAAATATATGGTTGATTGTTGATCTTCCTCCGCAGAATTTACACTGATAATTTTCTAGAGTTTGATCCGAAAACGGTTCTATGTATTTGTAAAGCACCTTTATTAGTACTTTGTATGTTATGTTATCAGTGATAGTTTAGTGATAGGGTCCTGGCCCAGATAGTTTAGGAAAGTGACTCCCACTCCAGCCCCAGTGTTGAAAGCGGTAGTTGTCTCACCATTCACGTAGATGTGTTCTAAACTGTCTGGGATCTGGTTATCACTATTGACAGTTTTCTATACATTTTGACACTTCTTCCATTTTTTGACATTAATTATTGACACTACAATACTAATTGATGTTTTTAGCACTATTGAGATAATTGATACTTTTCAACACATTTTGAAACATGTTGACTTTATTGGATACCTTTTTGACAATTTTACACCTTTGCACTTCTCCCCAACATCCACGCTTTTTGACATAACTACACTATTTAACACTTTTTGACACAATTAACACTTTTCTATAAATTTTGACTCACTTTAACTTTTTGAGATCTGACTCTATTTCCCCATCAGCTTATTGATTGTTCTTTAAGACAAATTCTTCAATGATGTTGGCTTATTAATTGCTTAGCAAAATAACTTAAAATGTAAAGTATTGCTCTCACGGTGCTTTTGTATTCTTTATTGATGAGGCACCTTCTTCTCTCTTGGCATGATTTGTCCTTTGGTTGTATAGAGAGATCTTGTCCTTTATCTCGCACCATTTCAAGCCAATTCAAATTCTCGTTAAAAAACAGTTTCTACAGCTAACAAGTTAAATAATTAATATTTACTAATAATTAGTTATGAAATTTGAAGGAATATAATTAAATAGAATTGGATTTTATGATGATGGATTTTATGGACACCTAAATCAAAATTAAGGATATTGAACATAGGAAATGATAGATTGAGATCTAGCTACAGAATAGTTTCTAAAAAACTCTAAACCCCAATGCAAACAAATCATGTATTTAAATTATTTTTTTCCATCATTATAAATCCAGAAGTTAATGAATATCCAGAATTTGTAACATAAAAATTTTTTTCATCTCACATTAACATTTAAATTCTACTTAGAAATTAAAAAAATCGAATTCTTACTGCTTAAATACATACATTCTTATCACTTAGCTATTTATATAGTTTTTTTAGTATATAATTAAGTTTTGACAAGAATCATAACCTAACATAACCTAACTAAATCTAATTATTTACACATTTTTATAAAAACATCCACCTTGATTTTGTTATTTCTCTTCTTAGATATGCGGGGATTTATTTTCTTTCTAAAATCTTTTTCTGGATTTGCAAGTAAAATTTTTTTAAATAATTTTAATAAATTGAAAGTGAAATCAGAGTATCACAGATCTTGAGTTTTTCAAGAACTTCTTTAAAAGAAAAAAAAATTAATCAAAACAAATTAATATAAATATGTATATTAATTTCGTATCTTGAATTCCTTGAAAACTAAAATATTTTTCAAAATTGGCACCACTGATTATTTTATCTCATTTTCTTCTTTGTAGATGGAATTTTTTTTAATTTAAACAAAATTAATCACGGTATTAATCAAAAATACACAACACAACAAAAAACTTTCAACAAAAAAAATAATAATAATAATAAATACGCGACATTTGCTTTTAAATCGACTCTCATAAATCCTTTTTTTTTTATATCGACGATTTCTTTTTAATTTAATAGCAAAATTGTAATAAATCGAAACGTACTTACGCTTAACCTAACTTTTTTTCTTTGTACATCGATAAACGCCCCGTTTCGAGTCCGTATTTTTTTATTCACATGTAGCGCGGCTTTTTCGGATGAGTTGGACTCCCCATTGTGACATCCGAAGGTGACGCGGGACGCTTACAGTGCCGTTGAATTTCCCCCGTAATAAACGCGCACAAATCAGTACCCACCGGTTGTACGGCTCTTCTCGTACAATTTCTCGCCAACGCTTCCGTAAACGTATTCAAATCGTCCGCATTAAACGCGTTTTGTTGGTGATGAGCGGGTGCCACACCTGGTGGTGGTGATATATTTCTCGGTCGCGGAGATAACCTATAAAAATAGTTTTGATTAATAAAAAAACAAATAAGAATTATTAACACGTTCGCTAACAGATTTTATTTGCAATGTTAAATTTTAATTTAAGCTATACAAGAAAAAATTAAGAAAGAAGAAGCTGTATGGAAAAGAAAAGGTCCAGTGTTGGTTACACACTGGAAGGTCAAGAGATTGGTGGCTATGATATCAATAATGCATAAACACTGAATTGTAGAAGCAACAAATAGACAAGGAAAACGAGTAATAAAACCAGAGTGTGTTCTTGGCTACAATAAAATAAGTACATGTCCAGGATAGACAGATCAGACCAGGTGATGGGATACTACTCATTGTCAAGGAAAACCATAAGATGGTACAGAAAAGTGTTCTTTCATCTTATAGATATTGCAAAATTGACCTCTTGAGATTTAGAGAAGAAGTTATAAAGGATGCTACTATAATCAGAATTCCATTATCTGGAGACAGTTCCCCACACACAGAAAGACAAAACTGTGATGAAGAGGTGTCGCCAGTGTAGCAGAGATGGAGTTTACAAAGAAATCCAGATACAACAACCTGATATGTTCAGAAAATCCTGATTTATGTGTAGATCCATGCTTCAGAATCTAGCACAGTACACAATAATTATGTTTCGTAATATTTTGTGGTAGCTGTAGTATTCATTTTGATTTGTATACCATATTATATTGTATTTAGAAAAAGAAAATAGAAACTTTAAAGAAATTCAGGTGTACTTAGAAATTGAAAGTCCAGTAAACTGGACTAGGTCTTTTTTTTACAAAAGATTAGCAAAAACCTCATATACTATAAACTAACCTGTAAATAACACAAACCTGAAAAAACTACTGAAGAAGGCGCGGTAACGAATGTGTTAATGAATTACCTGTGGTGTGCGTGACGCGGAGGTAGTGGTTTCCCAGAAAGGTAGGCTAAAAGATCTTCTCGGCGAATTAATTTCCGCTTCCGTTTTGCCCAGTGGAGTAATTCTCCGTTCCTTTTTTGATACCCACACTGTTTTGCTATTTCACTACTTTGTTTGGCTATATCACAAGATTCTAATTTGGGAAAAAATTAATTAAATAAGATCGTTTTAAATTAGATTTTTACCTTTATATAAAGCTGTTACCGAGGCTGCTGCTGTTTGAAAAGATACCCAAAGCGAGCTTGGATCAGCTGTGATTCGATCTAAAAAGTAAAACAAACGACGAAAATTATTTTTTTGTTTATGCTGTCAAATTTTTATAAAAAAATCGATGTTGAAATTGGGATTAAATTAGAACTAAGTCCCCTTTCACAGCTGATTATAAAAACGATAACAAAATGTCGGTATCTGAAACATTTCCTTCTTTCTTTTTCTTAACAATGCTTGGCGCAAGAAAAAAAGTTCGTTTGTGTCGAAAGACGCGGATTATTGGGGTATTATAAAAATAGCTTAATCTTCGGATAAAAAAAGAAAATATACCTCGATAGAGTTGTGCAATCGACGTCGCGGCATCCTGAAACACCATCCAGAGTTTCCTGTGCGAATTATCCGACTCTATTGTCAACGACTGTTCGTAATCGGGTTGCTCCTCTATCAAATCCGCGCATTGTTGTTCCCAAACGGATAACCAAGAATCACCGTCACCATCCATCGTCTTATTTCTTAATATTTTCAATATCACACCGACTCGTATTTTATTATTTTTTTATTATTAACCCACGTGCAAAACGTACTCCTCCTTAACTATACAAATCCATTACTGCGTTGTCCCAGTGAATAAAATCTTTGACATGGGGAACTTTATACGCGCTACCAACCTCATCTTAAAAATCACTAAATAAAAACGGAAAAATAATAATGAATGACGAGATTTAATAATAAAAATAAGTAAAAAGAATTAAATCAATGTAATAAAACGAAATAATCATTAATTTAATTACGCATTTAGTAAATAATTAAAAAATTATAAAGATTACAAAAAAAAAAGCGCCATCTATCGACAAACTCAATAATATTAATGACATAACCTAAAAAGTTAAGATAACCGAAACATCATCGAAAAATCATTAAATAATCAAAAAATTTAACTTGTAAATTAAAAACTGTTAAAAAAACATAAAAAACAATGCAAAGTATTAAAAAAATCGCAACCACATCGTTCAAAAATTGGAGATTCATCTCAAATCGGTAAGATAACCTCAAAAAAAAAAATACACACGCTTCATTAATTTATTAATTATTCATTTAGCACCCCAATTTTATCACAAGCCGAACCCCAAATAGAAAAAATCCCCATTCCATCCCCATCAGATACATCAATTCCAGCATCTCCAAAAATTGAACAACTTTGTTCGGAAATAACCAAATTAAACCTCATCGAAGTAAGCGAATTAAGCGCTTTATTAAAGAAGCGGTTAAATCTCCCCGACGCCCCCATGGTAGCGGCGGGCTCTTTTGCCCCCGCGAAACAAGAAGACGAGGAAGAAGCGGCTCCGCAAAAACAAAAAACTTCTTTTACTGTTAAGTTGATGAAATTCGACGATAAACAAAAAGTGGCTTTAATTAAGGAAATTAAGAATTTACTGGAAGGAATGAACCTGGTGCAAGCTAAAAAGTTCGTTGAAAGTGCCCCCGTTGTCGTTAAAGGGGATATTGCTAAAGATGAAGCGGAGAAACTTAAAGAAGCTTTGGTGAAAGTTGGGGCGTCAATAGAAATCGAATAAAGATTCAGAAATGTAATTATTAATGTAGAATTAGGTTTAATAAAGATAAATTTGTATTAATTAAATTATTTTTTGAAATTCCTTTATTATCGGCAATGAAAAATTTCATTTTTAACTAAAAGATGGCGCTACTTCATTGAATTACTCAAAGTATTAAAAATTTAAAAGCTAATTGCGTATTATTTGAACAAAACGTTATTGCAACACGTTGTCCTCAAAAAGCAGTTTGAAAATAGGTTGCACGTGAATGACTTTTAAGAGTAGTAATAAGAACATGGCCTTTAAGTACAAAAGTCGAAAAAAAAAACTTGGAAGAAATCACGAGTTTTATTTTTAAATGGGAAATAAGTCTTTAATGCAAAAAAAAAAAAACGTTGTAGACTTTAATCGACGAACGTCTGACCACAAATTAGCGTCTTTTCTCGTTCTTTTGTAGAGCTAACTACGAATGTAATCTGCCCGAGGGGGCCTCTTTAAAAAAAAACTGGTTGGTGGAATTAAAAAGGAAAAAAAAAATTGCCCCCAGTAAAAAGATACCTGGCGCTTGATGTTACGAAGAACCGCTTCTTCTCGGTGTAGTAATTTCGTAGCAATTCGAATTCTTTTTACTGCAATAACTTTCTCATTTTTCTTGTATTAGTAGCGGGGTAATGAACTTTTCGAAGAATGGGAAAAAGTTCAAGGTTTATTTGTTCTTTCAACGAAGATGAAAACGAACGTCATCAGCTTGAGAAAAAAAAAACACCGAGAAAAATTTTTATTATGAAATTGTTACAATCTGCAATGGTTGTATAATCGAAGAAAAAAACAAAACGATTAAAACGGAAACCGCGCAGCACATTGAATCGAACTCAATTGCTATCAATTAAACTTAATGCGGGCGTCAGACGGACTCTATATCATTAATATACAGGGAGAACATTAAATACAAGACAATTATGACTTGTATATGTCATAAATAACGGATTGTATCGAAATACTTTTTTGAGTTTGTCAATTACATTCTATGAAATATTTGGAATCATTCTGAAATATGATTGAAAGATGTCACGGATGTTGGGAATAAGGCAACAAAATCCTCTAGCATTTAACCATCGTGGTCTCTATACCAACCTAGTGTAAAACTAGAACTAACACTAAACCGAGAACTAGAAACATTCGGGTTTAGCCGCACGTCTCTAAAGACGGCTAAACCCGAATGATTCTAGTTCTAGGTCTTATGTTAGTTTTAGTGACAGTGCTAGTGCAATACTAGAACTAACGCTAGACCGAGAACTAAATCATTTGGGTTTAACCGCACGTCTCTAAAGACGGCTAAACCCGAATGATTCTAGTTCTTGGTGTTAGTTCTACTTTTAGTTCAATAAAAATATACAGCAATCTAGCGCTACATAACAATTAAAACTAGAACTAACACTAGACCTAGAACTAGAAATATACGGGTTTAGCCGTGCTTCTGAAACACCCTGCTTGTTATTCCCTGTCAATTGTTCCTTCCTTAGATATTTTGCTGCCAAAGATGCTTTTATGTTCCTCACATTGTTTTATTTTTCTTAACTCCAGTTTTGGATCTTCATCGTTTTGTCCAACACACATATTCCTTTCTAAGTTTCCTTAAGTTGCTGAATATTTTTGTTAAGCCATTTTCCTTTCCATTCAATTTCTTTGGCAGAAAGAGGCAGTTCTTTCTTCTTTATTTCTCCCCCTTTCTGCATTCTTCATGAAAACTTCTGCCTTATTTTTGGATTGATTTCAAGCATTTTCACTTTCATATTTCTGTTTTCACCTTTTTTATTATCCGCAATTTTTAATATGGCGCCTGCTTGGTGGGGAGTAATCAAAATCCTTGCTCTTCCTCGTTCAGTGTCATATTAGGTCCCCTCAACATTGGCAATCACATTGGCGAATTGTTTGCGACTTTCGACTCATCTAAATAGTTTTCGGCACCTGCCATTTGCATATTTGCTTCCTTATCTTTCTTATCTTGATAATTTTAACACTACTTTGTTTGTCTCCCTGGCTATCCAGGGTAATCAAAATCCAAACATGAGAACATGAAGATGCAAATTTGATTTATAAGGTTAAAATAACATTGGAGGGAAAGTTGCTTCTTCAAAAATGAAATAACCTAGCCTATTAAGTTCAGCATTAAGAAGGAATACAATCATTGCAAATTTTACAATTTCATTAATATTACAAGATTTTTGGCATTTATTTTGAACCAGCCTGTATATAAACACATATTCAAAAGCTATACTACAAACCACAATTGATATTGAATGAAGTAGAATGAGTCGGAGTTTGAAGAGATGATAGTAATATATTCCACGAAAGCGCCGTCCGTTACAGGAATGAGAGATCTGATTGGTCGCCGTTGGAGGTGGGGCACTATGTATATGAATAAACCCACGCCGATATTTCGATCTCAGTTTTTCGAGTTGGCTTGGCGTAACAGCTCTTTACAATTTTTTTTTCGCTCATTCAAAAAAAAAAAAAGTGAAAAACTATTAAAACCAACTGTGATCTTTTTTAATTACTTAAGTTTTTTCTAGTTTTAACATTTAGTTTTTGAAATTACTTAATTTCTTTTCTAGGTGTGTTAATAATTAAAAAAAATTAAATTAATTCGAGTTAATAAATAAAAATTATTTTTTTTTAGTTAATTTATATCGAATTTTCGAAATCATGGCTTCCGCAACAACTAAAAAAGGTTGTTTAGGTAAGTTTGATTGAAACTTTCTTTTTCGCGGGCGGTTATATTTAACATTTTGAGACGTTCGCACGTAATTTGGACGTAGAAACACACGACGAGGTTTAATTTTAGCTTGAGAAAATGTGAACGCACGAGACTTGAGTTTCACATTTTCTTGGCACGCGGTAAAATTCTTAAAATTCTTTTCCCTTTTCATACCACCCATATAAATGCAGTTAAAAACTAAAAATTATCAAAAAAAATTTGTATCAGTGAAAAGAAAAGTGAATTGAAACGGTTTCTTTCTTTTTATCCAAACAGGTGCAAGGTAAACCGCATACCTTTCAGAAATTGTTTACTCAACGGGAAGGAATAAATTAAAATACTCGTTGAGGAGCTATTAAAACTTTTTTTTTAACAACTCACCGTTCGATTCCGATTTTCGTTTTGTGCTCATTTTCTTTCTTGTTTGTTAAATCGGGCGAGGAGTTGCTATATTTGGGATCACCATTCCAGTTATAGAAAGAAGGAGCCGTAAATAGATAACCTTGAAATTAAATAAGAAAAAAATTAAAAAGATAAATTGAAAATGTGATAAAATTCGTTGGCGCCAAATTAATTAGATATTTATTGATAACCTAATCTTTAAAATTAAAACAAACGTCAAAATTTTGACATTTAAAAAAAATTTACCTCAAAATTTTGACGTTTAAAAAAATAACCTCAAATATTTTATGCACTTAAAAAAATTTGTAAAGAATTTTAACCTTGAAGTAAATTTTTTCTTTATAATTAATATTTTCGTATTAAAAAAAAAACAATTCCCCACAAGCATTTACACATTAATTGCAACAATGTGTATTTATCACATTTATTCTACAATTATGTCAACTCATTCAATGAGTTAATTCCATTTAAGACCAGACAATGACTATGAAACACCTAATAAAACCATAAAACTATAATAAAACGTTTCTAACTCTCTTTTTTTTTTTAGAAAAAATATCATGTCGACAAGTATTAAACATCATGGTAATAATTGGTTTTATGATAAATTATATGTTGCGAGTGAACATAACAATAGCAATAACGGCAATGGTACCAAGTCCCACAACAAATGTGACTAATAATACAGATAACGCAACGATGGAGCCAACTTCCGAGTTATTTAATTGGGATAAATACCAACAAAATATGATTTTGGGTAGTTTCTTTTGGGGATACGTCTTGACTGAGCTACCTGGTGGTCACATGGCGGACGCAATCGGTGGTCATAAAATATTTGGAGGTGGAACATTAGCTGCTAGTATCCTAACTTTATTAACCCCATTAGCTTGTTATTGGGGTTTTGTTCCTGTAGTACTTATCCGTGCCCTGCTAGGTTTCTTTTTGGGCGCGACGTGGCCTGCTTTACCTCCAATCGCTGCCAAATGGATTCCGCCAATGGAGCGATCGAAATTCGTGGCGAACATGATGGCTTCTTCATTGGGGGCTGCAATTACAATGCCGGTATGCGGCTTGCTCATAGACAAATTGGGATGGGCTAGCGTTTTCTATTTGACGGGTGGGTTAAGTTTGGTTTGGTCTGTTGCGTGGTTCTTTGTAGTGTTCGATTCGCCAGCAACGCACCCGAGGTGTAGCGCCGAAGAACGGATGGAAATAGAAACGGCTATCGCTCAACATACCAAAGGAAAGAAGCCCAAAAATGTCCCGTGGAAAGCCATTTTTACGTCACTACCAGTTTGGGCTATCGTCGTCACTCATGGATGCTCCGTTTTTGGGTATTTCACGGTGGTCAATCAACTCCCAACGTATTTCAAGGATGTTTTGAAGTATAATATTAAAGAAAACGGGTTATACTCCAGTTTGCCATATTTAGGTAAGCCAAAATCTAAAAATAAATAAAATTAATACTGGAAAATTTTACTAGCAAAAAAAAATGAGGTTATGTTTTGTATTTTAACTATTTTTACACCTTTGCCAAGGAAATTTCACCTTGACTTTAAAATTACATCAAAAAACGTGCTTCGTTATATAATCTTACCTTAGATGAGAATCTTTTTCGATTTAACACGTATTCAAGGCGACTTTAAGTAATTATAATTTTTTTTTAAATTTATCTATGGAGGTTTGTTTTGGTGTGAAGTTGCTCACAAATAATTGACAATTATAATATTAAAAATTAATTCAAAAAAGTCAAATGTACTTAAATAATTATATAAATAATTAACATAAATAATTAAAATAAATAATTAAAATAAATAATTATTAAACTAATTAATACATTTATATTAATTTTTTTAAATCAAATTTGATAAATCATTAAAAAAAATTAAGTTGGTATTAAATTTGACAATTATAAAATTGACGTTTCACATAACCTAATATGCTTTTAAAATTCTAATCTAAAATTAACTTGAATACCTCCGACGTAAAGAAAAATAGTGTTATCGCACCGAGTAATTATTTCCGTGTTAAATACGTCATAAATTTGCATTGTGCAACTCATGAAAGAAAAATTCAAAAGAATAAATAATCGTATACAGGTTCTTTTTTAACCTTCTTTTGCAATAATCTATTTTAAAAGTGGCGATTAAAAAGAAAATGACGAAATTTTCGATAAGAAAAGCTGAATTTGGCACGTTTGTGATAAAGGTCTCTATTTATAATAATTTTAACACTACTTTATTATTATATCTGTTTAAAAAGTTCTTTTTTGATTCTAGGTAAATATTTAATGGCGATAATTAGCAGTTATTTAGCAGATAAATTGCGGCGCAACGGAAAATTCACAACGACGTTTATTAGAAAATCGTTTACAACATTCGCGGTAGGTTTTCCAGCCGGTTTTATGGTTCTCCAAGCGTTTTTCGGTCAAATATCGGCTATTTCAATAACGATATTTACCTGCTCTCTCTTTTTTAATGGAGCTGTAACGGCGGGTTATCTGGCAAATGGTTTGGATATAGCCCCAAATTTTTCGGGGACAATCTTCGGAATGGCTAATACATTATCATCAATGGGTGGTTATATTTCGACCGCTATCGTGGCCGCTTTAACCAACAAAAGTTCAACGTTCTCAGAATGGAAGTGGGTTTTCTGGATTTTAGCAGGAAATTATGCTTTGGGTACTTTGGTTTATTTAATTTTTGGAACTGGTAAATTACAAGGATGGAATTCGGTTGAACGTAGACAAAGTGAGAACGGCGTTAAAAGCGAACAAGAATTAGAACCGCTTAAAAAGAAAAACGGGGAAATTCCCGCTTAAAAATTAGCATTAAGAATAAATTAATAAATTAAATAAAGAGTTGTACTTATAGGATTAAATCTGATTACAATTTGAATAGGTATTTTGTATTTTAATTTTTTTTTTTTGTAAATTGTGATTATTTTTTTACTAAAATATATAAAAACGAATCAAGACATTTTATACTTTTATTTTATCGTTATTATCTCGATTTTTTGAGTAAACATTAGATAATGAAACGTATTAATTTTCATCTTCTATTTAATAGAGTGCAAACAGTGATAAAATTCGATCTAAAAAATGAATTAATTCATTAATAATTAATTAGGTTATCAACAAATTGACTCGATCGACTTCGTGCAAGAAAAACAGCAAAAAAAAATTCTTAATTTGAACTCGTAACTCATTCGATATGATTACTTAAAACCCATTAAAACGATAAAATATTTTGGAACAAATTAGATATTTATTGATAACGGGTTTATAAACGATCTCAATTTTATTATTTAACCTCGTTTTTTTAGATGAATAATTGCTGATATTAATCATTTTTAATCGGTAACGATGTGTTTTGGACTTGTTTTATACGTACGTGTTTTCGCCGGACTCTTGAAGTTATAATTATATCGTTCTATATTTTTTATTAACAAATATATATGCTCTTGAATTTATCGGTAAGTTTTTAATCTTGAAAAGAAATTAGAAAAATATCTCCTTGTCAAAAATACTTGTCGTTTTAAAAACGTCAAAAGAGTTTGCTGCCAACTTAAATTTAATAGTAACTATGAAATCCCCTAAATTTTTAAAAAATGCTTAAATTCATTATTATTTCTTAAAAAAAGTAAATTTACCAAGTAATCCAAGACTTGAACCTCAGATCCGATACTGACGAGAAATTACGAAATACTCGAAACATCTTCAATCAGCTACACTCTCATCGATCTGTCAATATCTAGAGTTATTTTGTCATTTTCCTCCAATAAGGAAAACGACCAACCCAAGATTCAGACATACCTAGTCTCGCTTAACGTTATCCCTCAAAGTTGGTGGTTATGTGTTGGAAAGAGTACAACCCTATCTAGGTTCGAGATTCCGTGTCGTAAAAGCTAATTAAGAATGTGGTGCAAAAATATAAAACTAAGTATATAGAAAAGCCTTAGTGGTAACATAAAGATATGAAGCTTGTGCTCTAACAACCACACGTGAACAACTTTTTAGGGTATATGGTGCCGATATTGAGAGGTTCATTAAAAGCACTAGAAAAAAAGGAGAATTGGAGATCAAATTGAAGTCAAAGAACAAGAGGCAGACCGAGAAAACGATGAAAGAACGATGTAGAGATGACTGGCATGTGTGCGGAAATTAGCCTAGGAATTTTTATCTACACCACAGGCTTTCTGGAGTAGCTATATTCGCAGGTACTTGATGTAGGGTGGCACCACCAACCAACAATTTTATGGGTGGAGGAATTCTCCATCTCCCAGATCTCCATAATCTTGCTCCACGACAGGGATTTGATAATAAAAATATCTTCTTGTATGGCAAAACATTACGCCAACATATTTCTGTCTCTTCTATCCTCCTTCTCATAAAGCATTTTTCCTCTGAGAAGTCAGAGACATAGATGTTGGAAGGATTTTTACAAAGATGAATTTGATTTTGACACATTCAATTTTGTTTAGACTAGTGAATGGGTTCCTGCGTCAATTTTCTTGAAATCTGAAAAGGAAGCTCCCAATTCCTGCTTCTTGAAATAACCCAAGAAATACCTAGAAACCTTGATGTTATTCCTATTAATTAGTGCAAATTCATCAAAACCCATTAATAAAAATATGTAACTCTTATCGGTTGTTATCAAACCAGCAAAAAAATATGTATTATAAATAACGTAAAAGATAAGAAATTGTCGTACGAGCTTTTTTTGCAAGTTCAAGATATCCCTATTTGTTACTTGTACTGATAAATATCTATTTATTTAGGTGTACAAGTAAAGAGGTGTGGTTCATGACGTTCTTTATCTGTATCAAAATGTGATCAAGATAGCCACACACGGAAGTTCCATTTTACAATGGAACTCCAAAGTTTACAAAGTTTAAAGTTACAAAGGGGAAATTTCAAGTTCAAACTATTTAATTTCGTTTAAGTGTTTAAAATGATTTATGATGATTAAAATCTAAAAAGAATCATCTATTATTATTATATACATTATGGATTGAGGTTGTTATTATTGAGGGTTTAATTGTCCATATAAAAACACCTTGCAACAAAAAAACGAGGTTAAACGCGTTCAGCATATTAAACATTTTAACTAAACCGATATTTTCTTATCACTTTTAAATATGTTACACACCACGTGTCGAAAGATTTTCAGTATATTTCCTTTAGCAAAGGCTAAAAAATACTTTAAAAATTCGATTCACGCAATATGTTAGTTCGCGACCTTTTTATCTCCTCTACAAATTACTCAGAATTTATCTCTTTTTCAAAACTATCGCAAACGTTTCATTCGTTTTGTTTAAATGTTTACCAAGAGGAGCCGAGTTTTGCGTCATTCACACTTCAATGCTTTTTGTTCAAACAAAACCATTTTCAATAAAACTTTTTCAAATAAAATGACTAAAGGTCCGTTGAGTATTGGTTATAACTTATAAGGTTATCCAACTCGAACGAATTGATGTTGAGGTAGAAATGACAACGTCAATTTTGACATATTTGTAATTGTCGTGAAAAATCCTTTAAAATGAGCCCAAACATGATACGTTTGATTCCAATATTAGTCGAGATTTAAGCAACTTCCGGTTTGAAATGTCAATGTCATTTTGACAAATTCTTAATTTTTATAAAATGTCTTAAAATTTGTCACAAAAACAAAAATACAATAAAAAAATTAAAAATTAAGGTTGGTATTAATACTTAATAATTAAATTGCTATCTTCATTGTTGATAACTTTGGGCTTAACGTTTTTTTATTTAAACTTTTTTGTTTTTTGAGATAAGTGCATCATCATCTTTGGACTCATTTTAAAGGTTTTTTAATGGAGATGACAAATATGTCAAAATTGACGTTGACGTTTCAAACCGGAAGTGATTGTATTTCCATTAATATTAAATATGTCAAGTTTGGACTCATTTTAAAGGATTTTTTATGAAGTTGACAAATATGTCAAAGTTAAAAGTTGAAATTTCGAACTTTTTGGTTTTTTGAGATAAATGTGTCAAGTTTGGACTCACTTTAAAGGTTATTTTATGAAGATTACGAATATAATAATAAAGCTTTTCTAAGTTTTTGTCTAAGACGCCCGGCTAAAAATAAAACTTTCTAGTTCTAGGTCTAGTGTTAGTTCTAGTTTTAATTGTTATTTAACCCTAAATTCTTGTACATTCTAAAAATATTTTTTTGATTTAATCCACTTACCTTGCTTATAATTTCATCCATTTACCCATTTTGAATTAAATACAACCTTTAAATTCAATTAATTATGTGTTTTTCTTTAAAAAATTTGAATTCAACGTTAATTTTGACAAGCAACTGCAATATTTGGATCTTAATCACCATGGTAACCGAGTCAAGTTGGATAACCTAAAAATAATAAAATTTTAACCGTTATTATTTCACTTTATATTTTAATATCTTTTTTTTTATATTTTTGTATATTGCTTAAGTGAAATACACTGTATAATAAAAATATAGAAATGGCAATTCTTCCAATGACGTCACAGCAAGGCTTTTGCGGGAGGATACGTTCATAACAACAGCGTTCATATGGAGTTGGATAACCTTATACAGTATGTTTAAGACCAAGGTTTATATATTAAAGGTTGTCTAAGTTCCTATGCTGCAATACTTTGATTTTAGTTTGTGGGCGAGGGGCACGAGCAGGAGTGTTTCGTGACGTAAGCGATCACGGATTGCGCACGCAACCTCATGGCCATATGGTGTTCCATGCATTTGTTTAATTTGAATTGCTTGGCGGTATTATTTTCCACATGTGACGTAATGCGCAGTATGGTTGCGTATGAACCTAGACAACCTTTTATATATAAACCTTGGTTTAAGACAGCATTATCTTTGTAAATAAGTGGTGACAAGCATTGACAAGCTGTCAAACCCGTCAAACCGCCATTTGGGCTCGAATAGTTCGAATATACAGGCTTCATAAACCGCGGAACTTTGATAATCTAGGGACTTTAAAAATGACACTCATAAAGCGCCATCTATGAATGAAAAGATGAAACTTAAACTAACCTAAAAAATATTAAAGAAAGTTTTTTTATAACTAATTTTGTGCAAAAAAATTATCGCAAGATAAAAAACCAAGTTAAAAATATGCAAAACTTTTCCACTCGGCGAAAGTGTNAATTTATCTCTTTTTCAAAACTATCGCAAACGTTTCATTCGTTTTGTTTAAATGTTTACCAAGAGGAGCCGAGTTTTGCGTCATTCACACTTCAACGCTTTTTGTTCAAATAAAACCATTTTCAATAAAACTTTTAAAATAAAATGACTAAAGGTCCGTTAAGTATTGGTTATAACTTATAAGGTTATCCAACTCGAACGAATTGATGTTGAGGTAGAAATGTCAACGTCAATTTTGACATATTTGCAATTGTCGTGAAAAATCCTTTAAAATGAGCCCAAACATGATACGTTTGATTCCAATATTAGTCGAGATATAAGCAACTTCCGGTTTGAAATGTCAATGTCATTTTTACAAATTCTTAATTTTTGTAAAATGTCTTAAAATTTATCACAAAAACAAAAATACAATAAAAAAAATTAAAAATTAAGGTTGGTATTAATACTTAATAATTAAAAATTGCTATCTTCATTGTTGATAACTTCGGGCTTAACGTTTTTTTATTCAAACTTTTTTGTTTTTTGAGATAAGTCATCATCATCTTTGGACTCATTTTAAAGGTTTTTTAATGGAGATGACAAATATGTCAAAATTGACGTTGACGTTTCAAACCGGAAATGATTGTATTTCCATTAATATTAAAGTTAAATAAGTCGAGTTTGGACTCATTTTAAAGGATTTTTTATGAAGTTTACAAATATGTCAAAATTAAAAGTTGAAATTTTGAACTTTTTGGTTTTTTGAGATAAATGTGTCAAGTTTGGACTCACTTTAAAGGTTATTTTATAAAGCTTTTCTAAGTTTTTGTGTAAGACGCCCGGCTAAAAATAAAACTTTTTAGTTCTAGGTCTAGTGTTAGTTCATGTTTTAATTGTTATTTAACCCTAAATTCTTATACATTTTAATTTATCTAAAAATATTTTTTTTGATTTAATCCACTTACCTTGCTTATAATTTCATCCATTTACCCATTCTGAATTAAATACAACCTTTAAATTCAATTAATTGTGTTTTTCTTTAAAAAAATTTGAATTCAACGTTAATTTTGACAAGCAACTGCAATATTTGGATCTTAATCACCATGGTAACCGAATCAAGTTGGATAACCTAAAAATAATAAAATTTTAACCGTTAATATTTCAATTTATATTTTAATATCTTTTTCTTTATATTTTTGTATATTGCTTAAGTGAAATACACTGTATAATAAAACTATAGAAATGTTAATTCTTCCAATGACGTCACAGCAAGGCTTTTGCGGGGGGAACGTTCATAACAACAGCGTTCATATGGAGTTGGATAACCTTATACAGTATGTTTAAGACGGCATTATCTTTGTAAATAAGTGGTGACATACATTGACAAGCTGTCAAACCGCTATTTGGGCTCGAATATACAGGCTTTATAAACCGCGGTACTTTGATAATCTAAGGACTTTAAAAATGACAATCATAAAGCGCCATCTATGAATGAAAAGATGAAACTTAAACTAACCTAAAAAATATTAAAGAATGTTTTTTTATAACTAATTTTGTGCAAAAAAATTATCGCAAGATAAAAAACCAAGTTAAAAATATGCAAAACTTTTCCACTCGGCGAAAGTGTCGAAAAAAATGTCCCTGAACCACCTAAAACGTTTAAGTAAGCGAAAAATATGTTTTTAACCTAAAATTAAAAAAAAATTTTCCAGATTTCTCGAAAATAACCCAACATCGCTCAATAAACACTCTAAAATTATCCAACGAACATTCCAACTTACAAAAAATATGCAGAAAATTCGCCGAGAAAGAATTAAAACCTTTTGCTTCAATGTTCGATCGTGAAAATAAATTTCCATCGGAACAAGTAAGCCAAAAATGAAATAAACGATTCATAACCAATAAAATGGATTTAAAACCAAATTAAATTAGATTAAAAAATTAGGTGAATTGGGTTTGATGTCGATTGTGGCTGCAAAGAAATGGGGCGGATCTGAATTTGATACTTTAAGCCTTTCGATAGCCGTCGAAGAAATTTCAAGATGTTGTGGAGGAACCGGAGCTATAGTTTCAATACATAACAGTTTATACATTGATTTAGTAAACAACCTTTGTAACGATCAACAAAAAGAAGTATTTTTAAAACCGTTTGTTGGAGGAGAAATCGGTTGTTTTGCTTTAAGCGAACCAGGTGAAATAAATTAAAATTAACAATAAATATTAAAATTAATCTTTTTTAAAGATGCCGGAAGCGACGTCGGAAATATTTCAACAACAGCAACCGAAAAGAATGATTATTATTTATTAAATGGAACAAAATCTTGGGTAACAAGCGGAAATGTTGGAAAAGCAGCTGTTGTTTTCGCCACAATCGATAAAAATCTAGCTCATAAAGGAATAACAGCCTTTTTAATACCAATTCCAACACCAGGATTAACCATTGGGAAATTAGAGGATAAAATGGGGATTCGAGCCTCACCCACTGTTAGTTTTTACTTGGAAGATGTTAAAGTTCCAAAAAAAAATATTATTGGAAACGTCGGTGATGGTTTTAAAATCGCAATGAAACAATTAGATAAAGCAAGAATAGGAATCGCGTCTCAAGCCTTAGGAATTGGACAAGCAGCTTTAGATGTTGCTGTTGATTATGTCAGCACAAGAAAAACGTTTGGAAAGTTTTTAAGCGAACATCAAGCCGTTAAAGTAAATTTTATTTCATTTCTTTATTTTTTAAGTAAAAAAAAATAATTTTTAGTTAAAAATATCGGATATGTGCCAAAAATTAGAATCAGCTCGTTTATTAGTGTGGAGAGCGGCCGTTATCGCTGACGATGACAATATATCTTATACAAGAGAATCAGCTTTGGCTAAAATCGCCGCTAGCGATGCCGCAATCGATATCTCGCACAATGCCTTACAAATTTTAGGGGGAATAGGTTACGTTAAAGATATGAGCGCCGAAAGACATTATCGAGATGCAAGAATAACTCAAATTTACGGCGGGGTTACCGATATTTTAAAAATGATTGTTGGTGATTTGGAGGTTAAAAAACATAAAATGTAAGGGTTAAAATAAAAAGGATTTTATACTTACCATTATTAAAATATTTCTAAATAAAAATATTTTTAACAAGATGAATTTGATTTTGACACTTTGATTAGACGCAACTTGTCAATTAATACCAACTTAAAAAGATATCACTAATTGATATCTCACCACAAATTTTTAGAGATATAGGTTCTGTTATGATATGGGTGTGCAAGAATAATTCAAATTTATAGTGGGACAACGCAAGGATGGTAAACTACGAATCTACTATCCTTGGGGACAACCGATATTTTAAAAATGGTTGATTTGAAGGTTAAAAAACATAACATGCTAAATTTGCATAAAAAAAGGATTTTGTACTCACCATTTTTAAAGGTATTTCTAAATAAACATATTTGTTGACTAAAACTACAACTAACACTATCACTAGAACTAACATTACACCTAGAAATAACATTTTTAGCAAGATAAATTTGATTTTGACACATTCAAGTTGATTAGACGCCAACTTGTCAATTAATACCAACTTAAAACGATATCACCAATTGATATCTCACCACAAATTTTAAGGGAAATAGGTTCTGTTATGATATGGGGGTGCAAGAATAACTCAAATTTATAGTTGGACAACCAATATTTTAAAAATGATTGATTTGGAGGTTAAAAAACATAAAATGCAAAATTTGCATAAAAAAGGTATTTTGTACTCACCATTTTTAAAGGTATTTCTAAATAAACATATTTGTTGACTAAAACTAGAACTAACACTATCACTAAAACTAACATTACACCTAGAAATAGCATTTTTAGCAAGAATTTGATTTTGACACTTTCTATGTGATTAGACGCCAACTTGTCAATTAATACCAACTTAAAAAGATATCACCAATTGATATCTAACCACAAATTTTAAGGGATATAGGTTCTGTTATGATGTGGGGGTGCAAGAATAACTCAAATTTATAGTGGGACAACCAATATTTAAAAAATGATTCATTTGGAGGTTAAAAAACATAAAATGCAAAATTTGCATAAAAAGGCATTTTGTACTCACCATTTTTAAAGGTATTTCTAAATAAACATACTTGTTCACTAAAACTAGAACTAACATTACACCTAGAAATAACATTTTTACCAAGATGAATTTGATTTTGACACTTTCAATTTGATTAGACGCCAACTTGTCAATTAATACCAACTTAAAAATAGCACAAAATTTAAAATTAACACCCACAAAAAAAGAAATTTATTTAAAATAATAATAAAAATTGTGAATAAAAACCTTAAAAAGACCTATAAAATCAAATCCATTAAGTTAAATGAAAAAGGGTGTGTTCAAACACACCCCTTTTAATAATGAAAAGGAGTGGTCTTTTCTTCCCCATATTTTTACTCAGTTATAATGGCAACGTTTTACGCGAACCCCAACGATGAAAATGAGCCGTGGATAGAAAAAGCAGCCATCGATGGGCTTTCTTTCCGTGTATGGCACGTTATGTTTTTTTGCTTCTCCGGATTCGTAGTCTCAGGTACTAAAATTAATATAATCACAAAATGTGTTAAAATCGTTCCATTTTTAGTCATTTTAATCGGTTGTTGCGTTAAAATCAGAGTTCCACGCACCAAGCAAGAAATAGAAGCAGATTATCGCCGAAAAAAGCTAGCTGATAAGTTTAAAGAGCGATTAAAGATGATTCAAAACCAAGAAATGGATGAAATTGATTTAGAGAGAGGTACAACACATTAAATAACAAAATAATAAACGAATTTAATTATTTTTGTAGCTTTAGATATTATCCGGGAAGATTATAAAGAAGAATCGCGTTCAATTGAGTTAAATCCGGGTTATTCCGATTTCAACGTTGGCTTTGAGAACGTTTCTGAAAACTTAAAAGGAGAACCACAAGTTAAAATGAATTAAAAATTAACGTTTTGAATGATCTATTTTTTGTATCTAATAATCTACATAAAATGGAGGAAAAAATACTGATCAACAATAACAACTTGTCTTAAAAATTTAGAACCTATCCTAAAAATAAAACTAAAAGTTATCACATTTAAAAAATCGAATAATTATAAACTCTCTTTATAATTTTTGAAAACATGCATCTCTAATGTTAGTAACGTTGAACATAGAGAAGTAATCCTCGTGTGAAAATCTTACAATATCCTCGATTTTACACAGGGAAGCTTTGCCATTAACATTAACGATATTCTTGCAAAAATCGATTTGTTTTGTTACATCCTTTCCGTTCGCCAAAAGTCGAAAGTAAAGACCATTCGCGCCGTGTTCATTGTTGTCATGGTAAACTTCGAAAATTAATCGAGCCCCATATCTTAGAAGTAATGGGTCATTTTGAAGACCGAGAGCGGCTGAGAGGTGCTCAAGTGTATGATCATGACCTGAATATAATATAAAATATGGACCTGAAAACTTTTAGATACAAAAATAAAGTATAAGAAATAATTAGTATTAAGAAGTGTTAGTATTACCATCGCTAACATTTGAGACACGATATGTCGAATTAATCCATAAGATCTCAACAAACACAATCTCCTCCAATTAAAATTTTTCCACTTTTGGTGACTCACCCAATCAGTGTAAGCAAAAATCCCCACGATATTTTGTCGCCTAACAATATTTAAATAAAAAATTTGCAACATAACCAAGGGTTACCAACTGGTAATAAAAATATCAAACAGAAAGCCCTCTAGCGACTAAACTAAGCAATTTTGTATATAGATAAGTTGAGTTAAATCATCATATTTTTGGTCAAGGTATTTGTGGTCTTGCGTTGTACACGTCATTTCTGGACACCTGTATATTTATCTGACATTTAAGTGAGACCCAACCCAACCCAAATCTCAACTTTTATTTTATAAAATTCGTATAGAGGCAACCAATCAAACATGCTTCTAAAAATGCCTATTAAATATAGTATATGATTATATGAGCATATAATGAGCTCATTATATGTGATACTATACTTTGTCCACGACTATTGAAATTGATTACATAAATTTATTCTTTAAATAAATTTTTGAATAAAGTTTAAACGTCAATGTGACACAAATTCAATGTCACCAACTGTAACCAACTTCACAACAATTTGTCAAAATTAAATGTCAATTTTATAAAACGTTTTCTTTACGAAAATCACCATGTTGGCAACCCTAACATAACCTCATTTTTAATTAATAACTTACTTAATACAATTTCTTGCCGAAACACACGGCAATTTACTCCCATGACAAACATACGTCAATAAAGCATCTTTAATAGCGTGAGGATCTTCGTCGTGTCGCTTATTAGTTGCCAAACTTGAAAAAATCATCTTCCCCGTACTTTCTGCCAATCCACTAATAGCAGGGTGCGATTTCAAACGATTCGAAATATCCTTTTGTACCAGTTTTAAATACTTTTCGGTCACCTGACACCCGCAATCTTTAAAGCAAAAGTACATCGATTGACTTTCCAAAATAGCGATTCTCGTTAACGTCTCAGGGCTGATCAGCCCATAAAGGAAAGCTAAAGCGGATTGGAAAGTTCGTCGATATCTCGTGCTGTACACGGAAATTTCGTATTGAGTGAGATTTAGAAGTCGCGGCCAAATGTTTTTGTACGTTTGTTTTAAAACGTGCCCCAAGTGAAGGAGTTGATTTACTCCTTGCATCGTTAATTGTCCCAATTGACATTGTTTTTCGTGCGATGGAAGTAGAGGAAAACCGTGAAATGAACCTGGACCTATCCAGGAAACTCTTCCTGCTGAAGTTAAATTATGTAGATATGACTAAAAAGGAATACAATGATTATAAATATTTTTAATATCGTATTCGTGATCTACATTAAATTCTCTTTAAAACGAGCCCAAACTCGATGGGGTTATCAAAGATATAAAGATAATGTGTTATAAAGATAACAAACTTCTGATTGTCACTTTTTTGAGGTTATGTCAAAATTAAATGTGGGATATCTCGGGTGTTTTTTAAGATAATCGAGTCGAGTTTGGACTCAATTTGAAGCATTTTTAATTCCCCACAAGATCGTCAATAAATAAAAAAACCTAACCTCACTTTGTAAACGTCAAATTGATATTGTTTGATATTTTTCGCCATCTTGATTAATAATTTTAATTAAATAATAATATAAAGTTCGTTATTTCTAGATCTAAAAACACCCGGCGAATTTAATTTCGTTGAAATCGAATCATTTTTCTTAAATCATCTTTCATTTTGTTTTTATTACTATCAAATTTGATTAATCTAACATCGTATTCGTAATCTACATTCAATTCCCTTTAAAATGAACCGAAACTTGGTCGAGTTATCTTAAAAAACAGCATACACCACCAACTTCCTTTCAATGTTTTTTGAGGTTATGTCAAAATTAAATGTTGGAAATCTCGGGTGTTTTTTATGATAATTAGGTCGTGTTTAGACTCAAATTAAAGGATTTTTAATTTCCCACGTGATTATGCACACAGATAAAACCTAACCTCACTTTGTAAACGTCAAATTCCGGTTGTCACTTTTTTGAGGTTATGTCAAAATTAAATGTTGGAAATCTCGGGTGTTTTTTATGATAATTAGGTCGTGTTTAGACTCAAATTAAAGGATTTTTAATTTCCCACGTGATTATGCACACAGATAAAACCTAACCTCACTTTGTAAACGTCAAATTAATTTTATTTATTGACTTATTTTTTCAGTAAACGTCAAATTATTTATTGCCAACCGTAAAAAAACAAAAAAATTTCATTGAAATTTATTTTTTTTACGATTCTAGTTCTAGGTATAGTGTTAATCCTACATAGTAATATTGCTAGTCTATTTTTACTGAAATAGAACTAAGATTAGACCTAGAATCATTCGGGTTTAGCGGCAAGTCTCTAAAGAGGGCTAAACCCGAATGTTGTTAGTTTATGTCAAATTGGTTGCCTAACCTCAAAAAATAAATGATCATAACCTCACCTTATAAGAAGTAATTAAATCATTATCGGGAGTACCACAATTAATATTACTAATATTCTTGATATGTTGTAAAGGTCCTCGATCTCCATGTCTTATTAACACCAATAGTCCTTTCAAAGACCATTGTTTATTATTTGGAATTCCTTCATCACCGGTAACAATCTCTTGCGTAGGATTGCATACGGTAAAAATTCGTTTCGTTTTAACATCAACCTCGAGATTATTAAACAATTCGTAACTAACAACGGGTTCGAGGAGTTTGCTGCGGGGCCCAAAGTACCTGTATACGCCTACAGTGAGCGCGAGCAACCAAAAAATGCCCACAAAATAAAAGGTGCGCTGCTGGAAGGGGACCCGCAGCCCGAGCAGCATTATTTAAACCGTTCAGATTATCCCATTTCTCGTTTTGTGATTATCTCGGTGAACCTGGAAGTCACCTTTTTTATCTTTCTTCCGTGGAAGAACACTTCGCGATAACGGTTTACGTCAATTCTTGTGGGGTAAACGACAACGTTGCAATGTCACTTTGACGTAAACGCAATTAAATTTGGACATGGTTCGATTTGGTGGATTTCGATTCTAACATGAAGCAATTAATCTTGAAAAGTTTGTTATTTTGGGGAAATTATGAAGATTTAGCCGTAAATAGAATGTTTTTGATGTTATAGGTTATCGCGGGTTTAATTATATTTCGATATTGGTATTTTTAAGTTATGTTGGAAGCAAAATATTTTGATTGTATCTATTCGACCGTGTTGCCAAATCGCTTTGTGTGAGGGTGAATCGATTATAACTTTTTTTTTTTTGATTTTTAAATGCGCATGTTCTCGTTGGGCTAAATTTGGATTAAAATTGATTTTATTTCTTGATATGCAATATTAGTAATTATAAATTAATTGGATTAAATAAAAAAATTGATATAAAAATGTAGTACGCGTTGATTTTCGTTTGTTTTTCGGACGCAATCAAAATTGACAGTTAGTTAACCTAAATTTTTTGTGGAAAATGGACCGTTTTAAATCGGGGGTGAAACTACGTTGAAAATTTGTGGAAATTAGTGTCCCGGTAATAGTAAATATGTGCACGTGATGAAGGCATGGTTTTTGGCGCGGTGGTGGGGGGAAAAATAAAGGAAAACCGACTCTATCAACAAAAATATTCAAGAATCAAATGCGCTGGTGGTGCGAACGCGCGCTCCGTCACGTTATCACTTGTACAAAGGGCCCCCTTCGCTGATCGAAACTCCGAAAAAGGGAATTAGTTAATTTAACAATTAAAACCGAAATAATGTGACTTAATCTATAGTGCGTTCAAGTTTCGTTGTTTGTACATTATATTTAGTACGCCGTAGTTGTAGTTGATAATTTCCCGTGTATATTTTCCCTTTTTCTTGGCCGATTTTCGTGTGATGCCGAAGAACCGGAGATTTAATCCGAACGTCTAATGTCTCAGCGAGATACTGTGATACATCTAGTGGCTGGAGGGTGAGTAGTTTTTCCTCCGTTTGTTTTTTTTGGTTGGAGGTTAACTGAAAACCTAACCTGAAAATGAGAAATTACATAAGAACCAAATCGGAGCATTTGCTACGCATTTAGCAACAAATTGTTTAAATAAACAATTTCAATACCAATTTCTTATACAAATTACTTTCGCAAACGTAAGTAAATTCGTTTAATTGAAATAACGCGCAAATTGTTTTATTTTTTTACGGTTTGTTTTTAAAACAATCAAGCAAAACGAAAAATTCCTTATCAATCCTCCAATTAGTAAACTCTCGATATTATCTGATTTGGTTAATTCATTCATTTCAAAAAACCCAAAAAATCTCGTTTATTTATTGAATTAAGCCGATTTTTAACGTAATATCATAAAGTATATTAAACAATAAACGCATTAAGATATAAATATTACAATAATAACCTTTTCCTTAATAACAAATTACGAAATTAGTTTCAATTGATCGTGCCAAATATTTCCGATTGAATTGTGAGCCGGAAACGTAGAATCGGGATTCCGATAATTGAAACTGTCTAAAAATACGACGTCGCGACGTCGTTTTCGCCCCATTTCGAAATAAAAATACGAAAAGAATCGAATAAAATAAAACCCTTAAAGTTTTTCTAACCGCATTTCGTCGCGCTTATCGTCTTGAAACGTAGATGTCACCACGGTCGGTTTTAATAATTAAAAAAAAATTAGCTTTAATAACGACTTAGTGTAAACAGTCCGGCCGTTTTCTATCTGTCCAAGCTAAATTTAGATCGCGTTTTGCTCGACGGACTCGTATGTGAACTTGTTATTCTCCTGGACTCGAGAAGTATTACAAGGTCGAATTTGTATTTTATATTTTATGTCAAATGTCAAAACGATTTTTAACCGGCGCCATCTCGAGGGGAGAATCGCAACTAATTTTTGAATTCGAATAAAAAGTGAGGTTAATTTTATTGTATTAAATCGAATTTAATGAAACAACAAAGTAGAAAAAGTTATTTTTGCTTTATAAAAAGTCGAAAGTCAAAAGTGACTTTAAATAAACCTCGCTTTGGCATTAAGAAAAAAAACTTCCAACTGGGCAATTTATTTTCGGTGAAGCTAACATGTTTTGGAATTGCGCCAACAAAACAGTTTCAAAACTACACGCAACATTCACAATTGAACAATTTCGCCTATTTTATTTAATTTTACCATTTTAGTTTCGCGTTGTTTGTTTACCTACGAATTGGCCAATCCATTTCTCCATATCTTTTATCGTTATTAACACAACGGCACTAAATTAAATAAAAAATAAACAACAAGATAACGTTGAACGGGATTTGTATTTTTTGGATCTCATAAATCCAACATGTGTTAAAATTACAACTCTAAATTAATCCGTGCGCGTCAATGCGTGGGATGTTAAAAAAAATAAGGGTCTTTATTCTCATTTAACATTTTATTTTTACTTTCTATCATTTTCTTTTTCATTTTAACTACGTTCACTCTCTATACGGCCCCCCTTTTCATACGGCGATTCGTTATAACGGCCTCTCCTATGATGTTTCCATTTACGACATATTAATTCCCCTATTTAGATTATTTATTGTTTTGAGATCGAATAAAAAAGCCTTTTTTAAGATTAGTTCAATAACCACTTTTGTCTTGAAGTGAAAGAATTTCTTCAGAAGAACGATTTGGGTAAAAAATTCATACCACCAATATATCGGACTTATCACACATTGATCCAGATTGGTGGCGAATTATAAATAATAAAATTAAATAAAAATAAATAAAATTATTATAAAAAGTGAAGTTAGTCACGATTAATTTACATTTTAAACGAACATTTACGTTTTAAGGTTGGTAATAAAATGACATGGTTATAAATTTGCGTCAAGTCAAATTTTTTTCAGGTTAAGTTTTTAATTTAACCTAAATCGTATTGACACTATTTTTTCTTGTAAATTGTCACACATTGATCCAAATTGATGGCGAATTATAAATAATCAAATTAAATAAAATTATTATAAAAAGTGAAGTTAGTCACCATTAATTTACATTTTAAACGACATTTACGTTTTAAGGTTGGTAATAAAATGACAAGGTTATAAATTTGCGTCAAGTCAAATTTTTTTCAGGTTAAGTTTTTAATTTAACCTAAATCGTATTGACTCTATTTTTTCTTGTAAATTAGTGTTGCAGGTACCGTAGGTGCAATAGTGACATGTCCGTTAGAGGTGGTAAAGACCAGGTTGCAATCGTCGAAAAGTGGTTTTTGTTACGAATCGCTAAATGGGGGTGTCCTGGGGGGCGCCGCCACATCACAACGCGTCATCGACGACACAAGGAACCCAACCACGACAACAACAAACACCTTAAGTCCGGCCCAGAGGCGTAGGTTGTGGACCTGTGCCCGCCAGTGCCGCCCTCAAGTTGTAGCTCTTTCAGGTTACGTCGCGAAGACTGGACCCGCGACCACCAGCCTCGTTCAATGTTTGAAGCGTATCGTCAAATACGAAGGCCCCATGGCCCTTTTTAAAGGTAATTATTTGTTTTGTTAACAATAAAGCAATTTTTATTAAATTTCTTTTTTAATTAGGTTTGGGGCCAAATTTAATAGGCGTAGCTCCTTCGCGTGCAGTTTACTTTTGCACGTACTCTCAAATGAAAGTGTTCTTAAATAGTATTACGACTCATCAAGACACCGCGATGGTTCATATCTTATCGGCAATGTGCGCTGGGTTCACATCGAGCACTTTAACTAACCCTATTTGGTTTGTAAAGACGAGATTACAATTGGACGTTAATAAACAAAACCAAATGACCGCTATGGAATGTGTACGAAGAATATATGCTCAATCAGTAAGTTAAATAATTAAAAAAAAAAATTAAAGTCCCTAGATTTACAAAGTACCGCGGTTCATGACGCCTGTTTTCGAACCAAAATGGCGGTTTGACAACTTGTCACTGCATCTCACCACTTATTTACAAAAATATTGCCGTCTTGTTGCCTTTGGAGTTGCAAAAATAGCAGTAAGAAGGACTTTCGACTCTTAAGAGTACCACGAGAAAAAAGAATGGAGTTTTGGCGTAATGTTATCAATAGAACGACAGTTTTAAATTTCCCGCTTGACTTTCGAGCCAAAATGGTGGCAAATCGCGGTACTTTGTAAATCTAGGGACTTTATAAAAAATTAAAATCCCTAGATTATCAAAGTACCGCGGTTTATGAAGCCTGTGTATTCGAAATATTCGAGCCAAAATGGCGGTTTGACAACTTGTCAGTGCACGTTTCCACTTATTTACAAAAATAATGCCGTCGTGTTGCCTTTGGAGTTGCAAAAATAGCAGTAAGAAAGGCTTTCGACTCTTCAGAGTACCACGAGAAAAAAAAAGAAAGGAAACTTGGCATAATTTTATCAACACAACGACATGGTTTTAAATTTCCCGTTTGACTTTCGAGCCAAAATGGCGGTAAACCACGGTACTTTAAAAAAAAATAATATTAAAGCGCCATCTATTGACTAAAATTTGAATTATAAAATGTTGGTAATGTAGAAAATTATTTTTTTTTTGATAAAATTTTTTTGTAGGGTCTTTTGGGTTTTTATAAAGGTATAACGGCATCTTATATGGGAATATCGGAAACGATAGTTCATTTTGTGATATACGAAGCGATCAAACAGGAAATGATGGCGCACCGTTCCCGACAAACGGACGATAGGGACGCCAGCGATTTCCTCGAATTCATGTTGGCGGGGGCCGTTTCGAAAACGGTGGCGAGCTGCGTCGCGTACCCTCACGAGGTTGCTAGGACTCGTTTGCGCGAGGAGGGTTCGAAGTATCGTAAATTTTGGCAGACTCTAGGTTTGGTGTTTAAAGAGGAAGGTATACGCGGCGTTTATCGCGGTTTAACGACGCAATTAGTACGGCAAATACCGAATACGGCCATTATGATGGCCACTTACGAGGCTGTAGTGTACCTGTTAACGCCCCGATCTGGTAATTATTATGGGAGAGACTGTGAAGATTAAGATGACTGAAAAAAAAAAGATTTGGAGTGAAGAGGAGGTTGATAATGAAGGGGAAAAAGTGAGTTTTTTAAGTTCCTTTTTAAGTTTTTTTTTGGTTAGATTTTTTTTGGAGTATCGCCGTCGGATTCCATTTTATTTTTTGAGGATTTAAAATTAATTTTTTGTAAAAATTGAAAAAAAATTAAAATGGGATTAGCAGAGGAAATTGTTCTTCCGATCGTGTTAAAAAAATGAGTCATTAGTTTATAAATTTGTTAGTCGATAAATTTGCTGTAAATAGCTATAACTACGTTTTTGCAAAAATAAATATTAATAATACGTTACTATTTATTATATTATTGAATTTCCTAAATGATTCCTTTAACTCATTGTATACAGGGTGTCACAAAAGTTCTTATTAACATAGAAACATGGCGTAAATTTTATTCAAACAGCCTTCACAAAATCCTTTGATGCTTAGGAAACGCATATTCTTTTGTAATGTCAATTATACCGTGCAGGAATGTTAGGTAAGGTTACCTTTTTTTCCGCCTATCAATCTCCAAGTTCGGTAATAAGTAAGACAATCGCGTTTGTCGTTTTTGCAAATTTTTGAGTTTTTGCCAAGAGTCGTAGTCGGATATAAAATTTTTTGGATTAGTTGTATGAAGTCGTGTTTGTTTCTTAATAAGGATCTTAATCAATTCGGAAAATTTTTTTAGTTATAAAGCTGTTCTTTTTTTAACGTAAATGGAGAGAAAATTAAAAATCCTTTAAAATGAACCCAAACTCGATATATTTATCTCCAACAGTTAACGAGATATCTTCATTTTTATAAAAAAAAAATGGCGATTATTTGACATTTGACAGTTTTTAACCTAACTTTTTTATTTTTTAACCCAAATATATCATGTTTGGTATCAAATGAAAGCATTTCTGACTCTTATTAAGATCGTTTCTATATTTATCAAAAAAATGTTATATTTAATTTTGACATTTGACGGTTTATAACCTATCTTTTTTATTTTTTAACCCAAATATGTCATGTTTGGTATCAAATGAAAGCATTTTTGATTCTTATTAAGATCATAATATATTTATGTTATATTTAATTTTGACATTTGACAATTTCTAACCTAATTTCTTTGTTTTTCAAGCCAAATATATCATGTTTGGTATCAAATGAAAGCATTTTTAATTCTTATTAAGATCATCTCAATATTTATCAAAAAAATCGTTGTTTAATTTTGACATTTGACACTTTCTAACCGAACTTGTTTATATTTTAACGCAAATATATCATGTTTGGTATCAAATGAAAACATTTTTAATTCTTATTAAGATCATTTCAATATTTACCAAAAAGTCGTTATATTTAATTTTGACAATTTCTAACCTAATTTCTTTGTTTTTAACCCAAATATATCATGTTTGGTATCAAATAAAAGCATTTTTAATTGTTATTAAGACCATCTCAATATTTATCAAAAAATCGTTATTTTTAATTTTGACATTTGACAGTTTCTAACCAGTTTTTTATTTTTTAACCCAAATATATCATGTTTTTTATCAAATTAAAGCATACCTGATTTTTATTAAGATTCCTTGACGCCAATTCACTGCCTGTTGAAGTACTGCCTTGTGACTTGTGGTGCATTAAAGATTTATTTCTTTTGCGCTGTTAACCATAATTGTTTTGTGTGGTGTAATCCTCTATGGGAAATTCCTTCTGGGTCACTCATCGAACATCTGAAAACGCACAAAACAATCTTTTGGATTTTTGTAGGAATTTTTAGTAGTAATGAAACTTTAGTGACATCCTGTATAATCCATTACTTAAATTAAACATTTATTCTTATTAAAAAAATCACAATTTCATTACAACGTTTTTAAATAAAAAAGTTAACTAAAAAAGTACACTGAATCCAAAACCTCCTTTATATCAAAATCTCCTAATTTTGGTAATTTCCTCAACGTTTTGTTCAATTTCCGCTTAGCCATATCCGACGGTGATCCATCCAAAGACAAATCCCTTAAAAGAAAAGAAAAAAAAAATCAAAGTAAAACTTACTCCAAAGTCCTAACTCAACTTACTCCACACTAAAGCTATATTTTTGAGCTAAAAACTCGGATAAATCGTCCAAAATCGTTTGCGAATGTAACGCGACGAATTGTTCCCTACAAATTTTATTCATAATATGAACAGTGCTCGCGTGAGTCCAATAACAATCGTGAACCGAAACGAAAGTAATTCCAGCCCTTTCGCAGTGCAAAGAAGTCAACATCATGTGAGTTGAGTCTAATGAGTGGATAAAATTTGGGGGGAAAGCATTTTTTTGTTTCATAACGTTGGGTTTTCTAAAAAAACAAACAAATTAAATCTCAAATACCGCTTAATTAGAGTAACAAATAACTTACTCATATTTATCAATGTGGAATTGTTCGAAATAAGCGTTTTGAGTTAATTTTTTGTACCGGAAATAAGGTTGAACAACAGGCAAACCTAACGGAGTGGCCCACTCCACGTTTTCTCCACAAACTGATGAGATTAATCGGGCACACTCCGTGAACCAGTCTTGTATCTCTCTGGTTGATGTAAACATCGTGCGGAGTGACTCAAATGTGCGAGCTAAAATTAATTAACTTAATCGAATTGTATTTATTAAAAAATGACTTAATTACTAGTTAAATAAGATGATCCAGCCCAAACGTGCTCTTTAGGAAAATCATCAATATCTTTTAATTGCCTCGCAATTTGTAATCGGGCCCCATATCTTGTTACACCATAAACTGTAGTCATCACGGTTTGCTTAATAACCTTCCTCCGAACGAATCCCTCCAAAACTTTCGCGATTTCCAACCCATTTTCAGCATCTTCTTTCCTTTTTTCCTCGACTAAAACCGCGACTGCGCTATAAACATCTTGAGGTTTTACCGCGGGGGTTAAATTAACACTAAATCCCCCGGCGCTATCTCTCCCCAACGCCGCGTAATGCTGCAATCCATTACAACTCCCATCTTGGTGAATCGGAAAATACGATTGATAATTTTCTGGATCACCAGAACGAATCGCCTCGGTTATTTCAATCGCGCATGATAATGTTTGCCATGGCTCATCAGATTCAACCCACCATTGAGATCCATCCAACGGATGATCCGCGCAATCAAAAATTTTATCGAGAATTGTTTCCGCGAATTTTAACCGGTCCTCAACGGAATCTCGCTTTTTTAATCCGGTTAAATTAACGAGGTGGAGTTTTAGCCATTTTAAACCTTCGGGGCCTAATGGGCGGGCTTCCGCGAATACCAACATAGATCGGGCTAAATCGGACCCTAAATGATTTAAATGCGGGGGGATCGGGTAGACGCGACCTCTAAAATCCATGTTGTGTGGTAACCAAAAGATTTCATCTCGAAACTAAAAAACAAAAAAATTACACTTAAACTTATTATTACGATAAACTTATCAGGAGGATAAAAGATAAAAACAGTTAGCGAATACTGTTTTTGTCGGTAGGATTGCTATCGGCGAAATAAGAGTCGGTTGGTAGCAGTTTTTCCTCATATCTGGTAATTTGTGCCGTAGGTTGATAATGCTAACGTCTTTCTTTGATATTAGAACTACGATTGTGACAATAATGCAAATCGTTTAAAAAAAATTTTCACAACACAACTGATAACGCATGTGTAGGGTGTTATAGGTTAACCTATGCAGTAACCATACAAAGTTTTTATATAAAAACCTTGGTAACCATATATATCTGGCAGATAACTGTATTATCGGCACCGCTGAGTACCCGATAAGTTATCCTGCCGATAATCTCAACAACAAAAATATCCGTATAGATAAGTAACTTATTGGCCAGATAACAGTGTCGGGAAGTTAATCGGTCAACCGACCCTTAGATTTATTAAAAATGTACTTACATGATTAGCTAAAGATAATCGATATAAACAATCACACCATAACGAATACATCTCGCTTTTTTTCCTCCGATACTGCAATTTTTCTTTAAATAATTGAAACCGTTGCGATTTATCCATATCCGGCGTAACTGGAGATGGTGGTTGCAAAAAAACCGGATTTTCTGGAACATTCAATTTATCCGATCCGCCTTTCCGAAAAACTTTCAAAATCAAATCTAAAATCTTTCCGTTAACCCTCCACGGCACGGCGGCTAACTGATTTAAAGCATCGAAACTCGGATATAATTGTCGGACGTCCGAGTTTTCGAGGCGTTCTTTTTGTGCTTGCGCTGTCAGTGGTAGTCGGACGAATTCGGTGGGAGCGACTAAATAACCGCCTGTTGTTAGATTGGACCAAGGTAGCGGGGGGCAGCGCATTGGGACTTCCGAGGCGGGAAATGTTAGCGTTTCTGGCATTGATGCTCGATGTAAGCGGGATAAAACTGGGTGTGGTTTGACTTCTTCGTTTACTATGCGACCTTGATGGCGGAAAACTGTGTAAAATGCTGGAAGGTGGTTTCTAGAAAAGAAAGAATAATGTTTATGTTTAAAAAATGTTAGGTAAGAAATACTTAAAGTTATTTGTTTTTGGTAATAATATCCTGATAGCGAGCAAGAGGAATAAAAAACATGATCAAGTATTGAATATATTTGGCTAACTTTAAGACTGAGGATTTAGCATGTTGATTAGGTATAATTCTTGTTCTGTTATATGGTGGGTAGACCTACAAAATTGGAAGATAAAGATCAGCGTAAAGTACCATATCTGCTTATTTGAAGCCTATGATCGCTTGTGCCAACTGTAAAGTTCGGCTAAAGTGGGATTATGGTTTGGGGTTGCTTCTCCTGATACGTATTGGGGACCTTGGTACTTTCATGACGACAACCCTAAAGGTACAATTCCATGACAGGCGACACTGCTGGTTTACATGTATATCTATGACAATAATTCTAAGCGCGGTGTCACTTCACATACAAATTATACATGTGTCAAAGTGTCGCAGAATTGTACCTTAACTGTCATGTTGTGAGGTGATTAACCTAAATAACATTTGTTTAGTGTTAAAATAATTATTAATATAAATATTATTATATTAAATTTATATTGTGTTATATTTTTCCTCCAATAACGTTACCTTTCCCACCTCACCCCGTCAACGTCAATTTGTTCGAGTTGAATAACCTTATAACTTATAACATAACCAATACTTAAGGAACAGTTGAGTTTATACAGGCTGTCATACAAAAAACGCCTCAACCTGTAACTCTGTTATTTACATTCCAATTTTCATGACGCATGTATCAAATGAAATGGTTTTATAAATACTATGATTCATGCTACAAATAAATTTTTTCCAACGCCATCTTCAATTTCAAGCGATTACTGACTTTTGTTTTTCAAATTGCACCGTATATGTTCCATATCTAGCTTCGTAAACTTCTTTCCTCCTTGTAACTTGCTAAATAGGTCTTCTATCCTCGGCAGCGGGTGTTTATCTACTTCGATATGTGGATTTATCGTAATTCTATAATCGCCACACAGCCGCACTTTTCCATCCTTTCTCAGAACTGGCACAACTGGTGACGCCCATCGACTAAAATCCACTGGTACTAGTATTCCTAAAGAACACAATCTATCAATTTCATCGCTAACTAATTCTCTAATCGCATACGGTACTGGTCTAGGTTTATAAAATTTGGGACCAATTTTACTATCAACTAACTTAATACTAGCAAGACCCTTTTTAAATTTCCCTAATTGATCATCAAAAATTCCTTTATATTTTTCTAACAATTGTGAAACTTGTGATTTTCCATTATCTATAAACCCCATATTGAATTTAACCTCAAATCTATTTAAAAAATCTCGACCAATTATNGTCTTATCCCTGACTTTGTTCACCAATAAAAAATGATTTGTAGATAAAGTTTGTTTATTAAAAATACAAGAAACGTATTAATTAATGAATAATTAAATATGAACAACAACTTTAGGAACTAAACAGTCACAGACTGTGTCATCTTCTTCTACTAAACTTACTAGTTGTAAGGTTAGAACAGTTGGGTATTAATGAATGAAATCTTCGGTAGTATCTTTCCAGTTTTCCCCAACCATGAGGTTTAGAAGTTTTTTCATATTAGCAACCTTTTCTTTTGAAATTGGGTGAGATAGAAGAAGATTAGGGATCATAACTGGGCAGCGGACTTTCCATTGAAACGATGGTATATGGAGCCTGATTTTCAAAGAATCATTTTTTAATTTTATCGCTTTATGTATTTAAAGATAATGAGGAATTTTTAAGCGGGCAACTCGTTTCGAAAAATTCATGAATGAAATGATCAGTAAACTCACGTTACTATAGTAACTAAGTGGTATTTAATGTTTTCCTCGCCTACTATAATTAAAACGAAAATTTGACTTTTTGGCTATAACGTAAAAACAAAAGAAGATAGAGGTTTGGTGTTTGCTGGATTGGGTTAGTATCGAAAAAATAGACCGGGACATGGCACCTACTTTTTTCGTATCTCTTATAGTTTCTGAGATAGCCTCTAATAACACCCAAATTTGCCCACCCTGTACAATACATCCATTTTAAATACAATTTTAGCAGAAAAAAGACACCTGTATACACAGGATTCACTCAATGGATTCAGAAAAAGAATCTCTATCCAATGACGTGATGAAAAATATATGGAGCAATTTGAGAAACAAAAGTTAATAATCGGTTAATATTGAAGATCACCTTGGTAAAAATTTATTTGTAGTATAAATCATAATATTCATCATTTTATTTGATAACTCGCTCATGAAAATCGGAATGTAAATGACAGAGTTACAGCTTGGGGCGTTTTTTGTGTGACAGCCTGTATATTAAAGGTTGTCTAGAGTGTTTCGTGACGTAAGTGGCCACGGATTGCGCGCGCAACCTCAAGGTCATGTTTAGTGAGAGTTGATGTGTCTTCTGTAGTGATAACATAAATCAATTACTACTTTAGTTTCCCTCAATTATTTTATGATAAGTGAATTTATATCAAAAATTAAGTTGATTTATTTTCCGTTTTACAACCGGTGTTAATTATATACCACACTAAGACCCACTTTTACCACCTCCTGATAAATTTATCCGATAGATAAATCCAGTTCTTAGCCAATGAGAGCGCTTAAAACCGCCGTAACCATGGCAACTATCCTCTAGATAGTTTATCAGGAGGATGGTAAGAGGCTAAGATGGCTAAGAGCTGGATTTATCTATCGGATAAATTTATCAAGAGGTGGTAAAAGTGGGCCTAAATATATTAAACTAATTCAATTAAATTGTTTTAAAAATTTGAATTATTTGTAGCCAATGACGTAATGCGCAGTATGGTTGCGTATAAACCTAGACAACCTCTTATTATACAAACTTTGGGCGCAACCCACTTATTAACCCCTAATGAGTAGACAACCAAAATTACATGAACACTCCTTACTTACTTGTGTTTACTATTATCCCTCATCACATTAACATCAATCTTCAAATCGTGCATAACGATATTATACAAAAATTTTCCAATCTGTTGCAAAACACCAGGGGGCCAAGGTAAATTATCCAAACTAATCGAAGAACCTTCTGATTTCGTTTGAAATTCCAATGATTGCCACTTTTTTCTTGTATTAACATCGACACTTTTCGTAGGTAAAATACCTAACTCTTGATGTGAGAAGCAATAATCCTCGCAATAATCACTATGTATTTTTAAAATTTTATCTAAAACTTTAGTTTTTGTTTTTCTTAAAATTGTGTATCTCGCGAAAACTTTTCTCCCTAATTCTCTGTGTAAATGCCTCACGGTTGGACTATAAGTCTCCGACCCTTGTGCGATTAACATCGCTTCATCTACAATAATATTGATGAAATCCCTATTTGGGATCGATCTTAAATAAGGTTCTAAATTTAAATAGTGCCTTTTAGCGCTTAAAGTAGCTAAATCGCGGTTAAATCCGAGTAACGCGTCTATTTCCCACGATTTAATCAATTTTTTGAGAGATTCGCGAAATTTTAACACTTCATTATTGGGTTTTTCAACGATTTCGATGTTTTTAACTCTTAAATAACCCATTTTTTCAATCTCGATTTGTTCCAGCACGTTTTTCCGCATTTTTTGAACCCCAATCAAATTTTTTTCCTCATCTTTTTTCTCCTCAAAACGTTCTTCTTTATTATTATTTAAATGATCTAATAAATTAATTGAATAATTAAAATCGGATTCTTTATAAATCGGTTCATAATTTTTATCGTACATTCTAATAGCTTTTAAAACATAATCGCGTTGGTCTAAAACAAAATTTACTTCATTCAAAATTTGGTCGAAATCAAAACCGTTTTCTTTTAATTCTAAAATGTATTTTTCAACGAATTTTAAATGATCGTTTCCTTTAATTCGGCCTAAACATTCTAAAATAATCGCGTAAGTTTTAATGTTGGGGGATATTTTTTCGGTTTGCATTATTTTTAGGACTTCTTGTAACTTTGTGAAGTTACCACGAGAAGCGAATCCGTGTAAAAGGGCGTTATATGGTCCGATGTTTAAAATGTTTATCGATTTAAAACGAGATTTTTGTCCCCAAATTGCGTTTAACCCTTTTTGGGGGTTATTTAAAACACTGCATATCTCTAAATAGGCTCCTAAAGTTTTTGAAACAATTTCTTGTTTTAATTTGACATCTTGTCGTTTTTTTGAGGTTAACTCCTTTACGGGATCTTCATCAACTTCTAATTCTTGGATTTCATCTTCAATTACTTCAGGATGGAATGTATTTGAAGGTATTTTCGTGTCTAAAACGTTATTTTCTAAGTTTTCGATTTCGTCTTCGAGATTAGTTTGTTCGATGATAACTTTTTCTTCATATATTTGTGGGTTATCAATGATGGTGAGGTTATTATATGTGTGTTCTTCCACGAATTTATTACTTCTCATCATATCTTTTAATTTATGTAGTTCACTTAAATTTAAATTCGTTAAAGCTAAGAATTTTAAATCGTTAGGATTTAACCGAGTTATCCGAGCTTTATACTCATTCGTAGATCCATTTGAAACTAATAAAAGAAAATGTTAATTAAATTTATTTTTGGGTTAATCCCCACACTTACCCATTAAAAGATCTGTGTATTTTTTGGTGGTTTTTCGTTTTTTGAGCTTCCTAGTTTTGAGGTTAGGATTGGTGTGAGTCGATTGAAACCGTTTGGGGGCTTAAAGAAACGAATAACTTCGTGGTGGGGTTAAATTTAAAGTAAAACGAAGCAACTCACCGGAATTATTCGATAAATTGCATAAATCGCAAGAACTGCGACCAAATAACCTAAAAATCGTTTCGTTCCTATTCAATGACACACCTTTTAGCGGGTACACCCGCGATTTATGCAGACTAAATAAGCGATACATGGTTTTAAAAACACTTAATTATGGTCTAATTATTGTTATTTTCGGTTTAAAAAAATATCTAACATAGAAATTCCGGTCACATGGGTTTTAAAAATATTTTGACAGGTTTGGTTATGTAATTTTACGTTATTACCAACTTAAATTATTTAATTAACTTAAATTGAGTTAATTAAAAAAATCTTTTATTTTTATAAATTATTTATTATTATGTTGGTTAATAACTAAATAATTAGAGTTAGAATTTAATAAAATAATTTCTACGCATTTTAAGTCGATAAAAATACTTTAGTATTTCCTTAATAGATGGCGCCACCGCTATAAGTGTAATTACAGCTACCACAAAATATTTTGTGCTAATCCCATTGTTTATAGAGTATATTATATGTAATTAGCTTACCCAATGCTTTTATTTGACGCCACGTTTTTAGTTCAGTTCCACCCTAGGGATCTTTGATCATTCCGTTTAATTAAAAAAAAATAAGTTTTAATCAATTGCAACCCCATCTAGCGGTAACCACTCACACTAAATCGTATCTTTGACATTTCAAAACCACCGTTTTACATTTCTTTTTAAATTTGTCAAATTTAACAAAAAAGAAAACATAATTGAACAAAAAACACATTGTTGAATACGCGAACTATTTATTTAAAGTGATTTTAGGTCCCAAAATTAACCAGGCACCAAAACATAACCTAAATTTTTTAATCAAAAAATCAAGTAAGTTTAATTTTATTAAATTTAAGTCATTTAATTATTAATTAATTTAATTATTTTGAGTAAAAATTAATAAAATTGAATTATTTTAAATGACAGATTTCTATTACCAACCTAATCCTAACCTGATTTTAATTTCATTTTCTTTCAATAGATGGCGCGAAACAATTTCAGGATTCAGTGTGGAGTTTCAAGAGGAATTTTTCTGAAGAATACAAATCAGTCTTTATTCTTCTTCGTAACGTTTCGTTCGCTTTTAAAACGTTTCTTTCAAACTATGTGCTTTAGCTGAAGTGGTTTTATTAAACAAAGGTAAAAAAATTAAGATTATTTTTGTGCTTTTTTTTAACTTTTTCTTAATTCACCAGAATTAATGAATGAACAATAAAAATAACAATAAGATTCTTTCATTAGGTTTGTTTTGTTACATTTTTCTTTTTCCTCAGAGACACCAATTAACAAAAGGGATGTTAATTATTTAATTAAAGACTTAAAAAAAAGGGAATTCTTTTATGGTTCTAATTGAGGCATAAAAGGGGCCGAATCAATTGATTTTAATTGATTTTTTTCTTGCATTTTCAAAATTTTATTTAGATTGCTTTTGTTTATTGTTAAAGAAATTGTAATGAACCTTGCGAATGTGTTCCACAAGTCAAAGGGCATCTAGATATCAATTTATCAACGTTTAATTGATTTTTTCCCAAATATACTTGATCTTCCGTCCTTACATCTCAATTTATTAATCCAAATTAAGGTTAAGATATTCATTTTTTTTGTTGTAGATGGATTTTCGGTTAATTTTCGTCGCTTTTGTTGTTTTGAGCGGAGTTAGCGCCAGACCAGTGTCGTAAGTAAAAAGTTGTGATTGTTAATTATAAATTTATGGCTTCCTTACGGGGTTATAAATAGAATCTTTGCCTGTTTTGCGTCACTTTCCAGGCCTAATAATGTCCCAAACATGTGTTTGGCCGCTTTATAAATACCCTTTTAGTTCAACAACCCCCAATTTACCATTTTTTGTTTTCAACCTCCTCATTAAATTCTTTGTTGGTGTCAAGTTTCGCTTTGAAACTTCTTTGAAACAAAAATATCGGGTTACGCTCGAGATTAGACAAGTTTTATGAGAAATACTTAAAATAGTTTATTTTGTATTAAGAAACGAAGATATTCGAGATGCAATTTTATCAATCGTTAATATGATACGAGCAACGGAGGATAAATTGGAGCGCCACGAATACCGCGAGCGCATCTTGGGCGATCAAGTCAAAAAAAGCTTTATTTCGTTGGAGAAGAGAATTCGCGGGTTGGATCAAGGCGTTTTAAGCCGGTTAGATGAAAGAGTTGCAACTTTAGAGAGTGTTTGGATCCAAAAGGATGAAAAGGAAAGGATTCAGTTGCAAAAAACGTTCGATGCCGTTGAGGATATCCAAAAAAATTTGCCCAATATTGTTGAGAAATTAAAAACTGATATTATAGCCGAGGTTGCTTATAAAACATTTTTTTGTTTAACTAATTAATTAATTAATTTGGTTTGTTTTAGATTCGGAACAAACCTGAGCCCATTAACGTGGATAACACACCAAAATTCGATGAGATAAAGGATGTTATTTCAGGAAAAATCGATGCGTTTAGCGTTAAAATGAAAGATGTTGGGGATGCTATTAATAAAATTAAATTGGAGATGAACGACGTTAAAATAAATCATAGCAAAGTTAATGAGCTACATCAACAATCAAATCAGAATTTAGATAACGTCGAAAAACATCTAAAAAAGAACGAAAACGTTCTTGAAAAATTCGAGAATAAATTGGCCGAATACAACAATCGCGTCGATGTTTTTCCCCAAATTCAAGCCCAAAACGATTATAGCCGAAACATAATTCAAGGTAAAACAAAAAATTTAATCTTAAAACAATTAATTAATTTATATTTTTAGCCTTGGAGTCCCAAAAAACAAACGTACAAGAAATTTTAAGCGAAGTAAAAACATTAACGACAAAAATAAATAAAATTCCCGATAAAACCGATTTAGAAAATCATCAAAATTCCTCAATAAATCACCTAAATCATCTAAAACATGACTTAATAAATAATTTAAATCAATCAGACGATGAAACAACAAAAAAAATTGATTCGATTCAATCAAAATTGAGCGAAAATCACTTAATTAATGAAAACTCGTTTAAAGAAGTCTCAAATATGATATTATCGTTGACGGAGAACGTAGCGACGAGTTATAACCAATTAAAAACGGAAGTACATAGTTTAAATAAATTGGAGCAAGTTATGGTGCAAACGGCGGATGGGGTTATGGATACAAAACGGCGCGTTGAATACGGGGTGCATCAAATATTATTGGAAGTCGGCGACTTGGTGAAAGCGCAATCGAAAATTGTTAATAACACGATGAACGAGATTTTCAGCCGATTCGAATTGTCCGTTTTGGATGAGGAAACCGGCGCGTTGGCGAATTTGACCACGAAAATCGGGGATGAGATAGCGCAAGTTTGGCGGCAAATTGGGATTATGCACCAGCAGATGAGTGCGAGTTCTGATACTTTGAATAAGTTGCAGAATCAGACTGATTTTTATGTTAATGGGTCGCTTAATGTTATGGATAATATGAAAGGAAAAGTAAAAATAAATTATTTATTTAGTTATACCTAGTATAATCTAATACTATATAGATATAACGGGGAATGAAATTTTTCATTTGCACTTTAAATTGTTTGGATGAATAATTTTAATGTACACTAATTCGAACAGCTATCCACTAGCACTAACACTAGACCTAGAACTAGAAACATTTGGGTTTTGCCGTCTGTCAAGACCTAGAACTAGAAACATTCTAATTCTAGTATTACACTAGCGCTATCACTAGAACTAACACAAGACCTAGAACTAGAATCATTCGGGTTTAGCCGTCTTGACAGACGTGCGGCTAAATCCGAATGTTTCTAGTTCTCGGTCTAGTGTTAGTTCTAGTTTTGCTCTAGAACTAACACAAGACCTAGAACGAGAATCATTCGGGTTTAGCCGTCTTGAGATACGTGCGGCTAAATCCGAATGTTTCTAGTTCTCGGTCTAGTGTTAGTTCTAGTTTTGCTCTAGAACTAACACAAGACCTAGAACTAGAATCATTCGGGTTTAGCCGTCTTGAGAGACGTGCGGCTAAATCCGAATGTTTCTAGTTCTAGGTCTTGTGTTGGTTCTAGTTTCAATTGTTATTTAGCGCGATATTGTAGTATATTTTTATTGAACGAAAAGTAGAACCAACAGTAGACCTAGAACTAGAAACATTTGGCTTTAGCCATGGGTTTGAAGACACACGGCTGAGACGTTAGTTTTGTATACAACTATAATTGAACTAAAATTAAAGTAAACTTTATTTTAAGCAAGTACTAGAGCCACTGCCTCGCCAGCACAGTTGCCTCGGTTTCTAAATAATATGTTATTATTGAAAACCTAGAACTATTGCTCGGCAGCATGGCAGCCTCGGCTTCTAAGGAAGGTATTCGTTTTGAAGAAAAGTTTACTAAATTTTAAGAACTAGAACTACTACGTCGGCAGCACGGCTACCTCGGTTTCTAAATAATATGTTATTATCGAAAACCTTTAACTACTGCTTAGGATTCTAACCAATATGTTTGTGTTAAAGAAAACTTTCCATTATTTTAAATATTAGAGACACTGCCTCGGTTCGCAATGACAAAAAGTAATTTCTTTAGCATAAAATTAGCAATTTTACATTTTGAAAATTTGTTGCTGTATTTATTTAATTAATTTAATTTTTTTTAGGTTGGTAAAATAACTGATCGCATAACAGAATTAGACGGGAACTTAAATTATTTATTGGGACGATTATCGTTGGTTACCCAAGATTTTAGTATGGTCAAGAAAGGTTTGGGACAAGCTTTGAGCGAAATTAGGGCTTCATTTCAAGAGGTGCAAGAAAAAGTGAAAGATAACGGGCCGGGGCCGCACAAAATACAAAACGAAAGTGAAGAAAATCAACCTGTTATTTAAAGAATAACCTAAAAATTACTATTATAGTAACTCATTTATTATTATTAACATTTTTTTTGTAAACCATTTATTTTAATTATTATCTTATAATAATTTTTTTAAATAATATTTTAGATTTTTTGTACTATAAAAGAAAATATTTAAAGAAAATATTAAGTTGTTGACTTAACACAAAACAATTTTTTTTGTTACAACATATTTTCTTATCATTTCCTTAATTATATCCTAACAAAAAAATTTAAATTTGCATAAGGTGCATAACTAAAATTAATAGAATATTGTAGAAAAATATTACATTAGTTTTTGTTAAAAACTTTAGAAAGATGTTACTTTTTTTAATAACAATATACTTATTTCATTTGCCGATTTTTTTCAGTTTAACATTAACTGAGTTTTCTCAATGTCCTCAATACACTGATTTATCTCAAGGAAATGGAACTCAGGTAATTTTTGTTTATTCCACTAATTTAATAAACATTTTTTTTTGATTAAGTTTTATGGAAAAAAATGGTATTTATACAAAACATCTGATGACTCAGAACGAGAATGGGATTGTGCCGTATTTCAATTTACGGGAAAGAAAACCATAGAGCAAATGATAACATTGTAAGAAATTAAGTTATTATTCTAACTTTACAACATATTTCAGTTACAGCTTTCGTTATGAAACTTATGTGGTCTTTGTGTACTTTGAGTATCTTAGGGTGTTTTATAGTTCACTTTGATACAGCTAGATAAAGAACAGTTTATTTTCGTCCGAGAAATTCATGTTTAGTGTTGAATTGCTGAAATAGTTTCTTTAAAAAGGAGAAACACGTTCATACGGTACGATCCGGACGTTTTCTAGTACACGTATTGCATTCAACGTTCAACGTGGCCTAAACGATATTATTAAAGGAAATTTAAGAATTTTTCAAAACTATATTTTATCGATATCTAACCCATTTAATGCTATTTCAATATGTAATTGCTATATAATGCGGTATTACTATTTTGATTGCCCAAATATCCAACGCAACCAACAACTTTAATCTATCAATTTTGGAAGCATACACCCTTTATAAAATTGTTGTAATTTACTTTCCATATTGTCCTTCCAAAATATCATATCACGTCTTATATATGTAATGGGTAGTGTATATCGGTCCACACCACAAATATGCATCCCTTTCCCTTGGTAATTTTCAACCGTCCTTGTACTTGCTAGTACTATTTATCTTTTTTATTTATTTTAAAACAGTCTCTTTCTTGATTCCATTTCCAGAAAGTATTTCTTTTTGTTTTATGGCATCCTTGGGATGCATATGGTATACGAAGAAAGCACTTTATTTCCACAACAACTCCTTGTCCCACACTAAACTGCCTGGACTTGCACGTTTCTCCCTTTATATTATCCAGTTCTTCTAACTGATGTATAGCAGATATTATTTATGAATAAGGACGCGACAAATTTGTAAACTTTATGACAAATTAAACGACAATGCAATAATTTTTTTTATTCAAATCGCAAAATGTAGTGCCAACTTGACAGAGGTTACTAATTCCTGTGAATGGTGGAGTACTAAGTAATAGGTTTTTAATATCCGGCCAAAGCTGGTTATTTGGTAACTATCCGGTGACCGGCCGGGTTTTAAAAAATGGTTGGGTGAGCCGGATACCGGATAGTTGCCGGATATCCGTTTCACCACTAATCTTAAATATAAAATATATTGGTGTAATGGATTAATGATGTCATATTTACTCATCAAATTGATATAGTTTAATAAACGATGTGTTTGTATGACTTTTCCAAAATCACCTATGTGCAGTATTTAGTTAGTTCGTTGCAGCTATGATGATNCACAGGCGATCGCTTTAAAATACTGCATCTTCGTTAGTAACACAGATAATAGAGTGAATAAAAAAAGAAAATGCACAGAAAAGATTGGGCTACTGTTTGATTCCAGGTAATACCCTCTGCTGTAGCAGCTGCACCCCACAAGGTGTTACAAATTTCGAGAATAAAAGTTTTTCTCATTTTTCTCACCCCGTATATGCTCAAATTAAAATCTGAACGAAAATTTCTATCGCAGGATTATTACAGCAGAATCAACCTTTCCATCAAAAAAAGAATCATCAAAATCGAATGCACGGTTCGCGAGAAAGCCAGCTTTGAACTTGTGGCAAATTTATAGTGGCCGCTTTTTTTTGCCGGTCAGTTTAGTTACATAGATATCGCGTGTTAATTTTTTAAATAAATTATCGTCCATTTTTGAGAACCGCTGATATTCAGTAAATACAATTAAAATACTTGTTAAATGACATATCCGCTGCTAGGTAACCAAATTAACTGGATTTGCAGCAATAAAAGCATGGTATCAGCAGTTCTTAACAAAAAAATACCAGTTTTTGAGAGATTTAACAAATTTTTAAATAGTCGTAACTGCCATATTACAAAGATTTTATTATTGGTGCTAATTATGCATTGTTTAAGTAACCCCGAAATATTCGCAGTTTGAATTTAAACGTAGTGTAATATGTAATAAGAAATGCTCGGCTATTAATACAACCTTAACGTTCTATATCTTTGTGATTATTACGTTGTAGTCAAAACATCAGTTTGGCCCCTAGTACCTACCCTTTTAATCTGCTCCGTATGTTATAAATCAGTTATATATAATTTATGCTGGTATAGTTTCAAAAGTAGGCTGAACCTCCTTAGCGACATTTTTCAAATCATTGTAAACAATCCATTTAATGCTATTTCAATATGAAATTGCTATATAATGCGGTATTACTATTTTGATTGCCCAAATATCTAACGCAACCAACAACTTTAATCTATCAATTCTGGAAGCATATTACACTCTTTATAAAACTGTTGTAATTTACTTTCCATATTGTCCTTCCAAAATATCATATCACGTGTTATATATGAAACTTGTAATGGATAGTTTATATCCATACCACAAATATGTATCCCTTTCCGTTGGTAATTTTTAACTGTCCTTGTACTTGATAGTACCATTTATCTTTTTTATTTATTTTAAAACAGTATCTTTCTTGATTCCATTTCCAGAAAGTTTTTTTTTGTTTTGTGTTAAACTTTACGACAAATTACAACAAATTAAACGACAATTAATGCAATAATTTTTTTTATTCAAATCGCAAGTTGTAGTGCCAACTTGACAGAGGTTACTAATTCCTGTGAATGGAGGAGTACTAACTAATAGGTTTTTAATATCCGGCCAAAGCCGGTTACTTGGTAATTATCCGGTATCCGGCCGGGTTTTAAAAAATGGTTGGGTAAGCCGGATACCGGATAGTTGGCGGATATCCGTTCCACCACTAGTCTTAAATATAAAATATATTGGTGTAATGGATTAATGATGGCTTTATTGGCTCTGGTATTGATAAATGTTGTCATATTTACTCATCAAATTGATATAGTTTAATAAACGATGTGTTTGCATGACTTTTCCAAAATCACCTGTGTGCAGTATTTAGTTAGTTCGTTGCAGCTATGATGATAAAAAAATCGGAATGAACTTTTTAACTTTTGTATCCGTATCCTATCTGTCTAGTACACAAAGCACCAACGTTTTCGAGCGCTTTTTGCAACGTTCAATTGAACCCAGAAAACAATCAGCTCTAATTTTGCACCATCACTATTCATCTCAACTATTCAAGGAAGCTTTTTTAGGATGTAGTCTAATAATCCCATAACAAAATGTTTTAGCGGGAAATCACCACCATCTACAGCAACTTTAACAAACTTTTACTTATTGAACGCAACGGATACGTATGCAGTAACATTAGAATGTATAAACATGATCGTTTTTCACATAAGTAAATCAATTATTTGTTATTATTCGTTATAATAATTTAATTTATTTCTTTTAGATAAGATCCATGTTTATACAAGTAAACCACACCCCGAGAACATAACAAGTTTTGAAAATGATGTTGCCGACACACTGAAATCCAATGATATATTAATTACTTTAAAGGAAACGAGACATGATTGCGAATACGTTTCAAGAAGAAAGAAAAAAAATTAGATGATTAAGTTGTTAAATTTTTTAATTTTTTGAACACAAGTTTTTAAGAGAAAACGACCACAAGGAAGAAATCAATACACACTCACGAAACTACCGTCTACATTATTGAAATCACGTTCCCAACAACAACCGGGGAGAGAAAAATAATGCCACCCTATATCCGCAGAGAGGAGAACTTCTCTGCGCATCCTTTCCAATTTGTTACTTCCCGTTCGCGTTCTTCAATTATAAATACTTTATTATCGAAGTAGAAATTCTACGTTATTTAGAAGCTGAAATATTGATAATTCCGGGTCGATTTTAAAAACATTTCGAGTTTGTTGGTTCATTTTTTATTTATTTGTCGTGAATAAAAATGAAGAAAACATTCTCGAATAATTTATGTAACAAGAATTTCTGGGGGTATTTCTGTACAGAATTTCAGCAATCTAAGCACCAATAAGCATAACTCGGAATGGATTTTCATATCCCCGGTAAACATTCGCGCTGGCAAATACCTTTCGAGAAATGAGTAAGTCTAAAACTCATTACCAAAACGTATTTGGGTTTACATTAACATCTCGAAGCTGAGGCATATCCTGAAGCATATTTCTATGTGGGGGAATTGCATTTTCCATATGCGGGGTCTATTTCCTGTGCACCTGTGGCCTAAGTCTAAATAAATAAAAACGCATTCAGAGATTCACCGACCGTCGTAGACACGGGTTTGCTTTTATCCTCGCCAGGGTGGTGTATTAAATAGACCCCGGGGTTGGAAGACTTCAAAGTGGGCTCGATTTATATGCGACGGAAATTGGGAATGGGAATCGTCAGGCTGCAACTTCGAGGGTTAACCGTAAACAACGTTTTATTCAAATAAATAAAAAGAAATAAAAAATATAGAAGTAATTGAAAAAAGAAGTAATTTATCATATTTGCCCCCCTCCGAGACGCGAGGACATTTACGACTGTCTGAGCAAAGTTTCTCAAATACCGCCGTAGTCTGCACTTTATCAGCGTCCTAATGAGGACTGTCGAGAGTTCTGACTGTGGGGGAGGGGGCTCCACCCGAAATAAAGCCCTCGTAAATATCGAGACGGAGGGTTTCAGTTTTCGGCACGACCTCATTTTCCGGCAGCGAATCGGCCCATGCCACTCTCATAAAGTTTTGCGAGGAAAAATTGTTCCATTGCACGGAAAATTTGAAAAATCCCCAACTCTCAAAAAACTTGATGTGTTTCCGGTACGGTTTATGCTCCGCTCTAAATTACAACGCACTCGCAACGAATACCCAATTAGATGCATACAAATTGCGGTAAATTCCTGGATTAGTGTGTGGTAGAACTAGAAACTAAATGGCTTTCATTTATCTCGCTCGAAATTTATTCAATTCACTTTTTGTCATCTTTAGTTATGTTCGAATTCATTTCATGTCGAAAAATAACAAAAAAAATTTAACGAAATCGATTTTAAAGTCGCGGGGTTCTTTTCGATTCGGAAGTTATTGTTTCTATTACGTATCGCGAACTTGCTCACCAACAACAACACCGTTATGGATAAAGTTTCTTCGAAATTGCGGGTTATCGACAATTTCAAATGATGGATGGTCCCAAAGGAAAATCCCAAATCATGATCGAAACATTGAACTTAACCAAATTATTCTTCCATGAGATATTTCATGGACGTTTCCATTAACTACTTATAATATTTTTATGAGGGCGTTTTTACCACTTTATTGACAGATAAATTGGTACCTCCTAAAAAGGATGACATTGATTTAGCTATTATTAATACGAAATATAAGTTATTTTTTCCCTTTACATCGGAAATAGATGCATAACTGTAGGAAGTTTGATAAGTTAGAAGCAATTTCGAAGTTTCTGGATTCAATAGAGTTGCTTGTTGGTGAAAGTTCATGTAAAATTTACCAAATTACTAGCTTTTCTCGGAAGAGAAACTCTTTCAATATTAAATGTGAGGACTAAATCGCTCCTTTTGAATTATTTAACTTTAAATAAATAAAATCGGAGATTAATTAATTCATTAATGGCGGACCAATCAACCTTGCTCGGTGAAAAGTCATTCAGATCCTCGTGGAATCGTGGAAAAATGAAAATATATAAAGCTTTGGTAGAATCCATACTAATATATTGGACCGAAAGGACAGCAGAAACAAAGAAGTCTAAACAGATAATGAGGGTGATGGAGATGAAAGTCTTGGGATCCATGTTGAATGTGACACTACGAGATAGGTGGACCGACACCTCTATCAAAGAAAGATGTAACATATAGGATATAGTAAAATGAACAAAACGTCCCCTTTCTCACGTAGTGACGTATCTAGCAAAAAATGAGATATACCGGCAGTAAGTAAGTTTAAAGCGTCCACACCATCTCACGTAGTGGCGTATCTGAATTCCCAACACAATACTAGGAATTCGTTAATCTTGTACTGTCGTATGTGTTAATATTTTTTAATTTTTTCTCACGTACTGACGTATGTCAGTTACGACGGTATGTGTGAATCTAGCATGCTTAATTGGCCAACAGCATAAATATGGCGTATCTGTCATACGATTGTTGATATTGTGTTCAATTGTGTTCACGGTGTAATTTGCGCTCATATTGTGCTCTGTGTTTTTTGATAATAAAATTAAAAAATGGATGTACTTGTACAGTGGCGAGACAATAGTAAAAATGTGGTTGCTGCTAATGAATTACAAACCGTAAACTGTAAAAATTTAACAGTGGGATGTTCGGTGAAGATGTGTTACGTTAAAAAGTGGTATTACGGGAAAGTTCTGGACATTCAGACGGTCTCTGAGGATTCACATAGTTTTGATTCAGAAGATGATGTACCACTAGCTAATCTAAAGCAAACACAAAATACAATAAATTTAAAAGAGACTGAAAGGACTAACCCAATCGACAGCTGCGATGATATCAGTGAATTTCCTATATATGATTCTGATGATGACCCTCCATTTGGAATCTGTGAAGCTCACAAATGCACAGGAGAAGTTTTTGCGGCATGCCATCGATGCGAAGTTCTTTTGTGTTTCCGTCATTTTATTGAGGAGAGAGATTCTTGTGAGCATGGCAAAGAGCAAAAATGTATCCAAGAGGAATTTGTAGTTGAAGGAGAGGATAGAGAAGAGGTTACACCTCGAACTCAACGAAGTAATGCGCAAAAATTTGCTAAAAAACAGAGGAATTTAGGTATATCTTGAAAAACAATATTACCGGTATATCACTAGTACCTTCTTAAATTTCTTTCTCAGGTAAGGAGTACATCAGCTCTACTACAAAGAAAATAGTTCCTGCTAGAACCATGAAAACACGGTGTGACAGTGTAGTATGTAAAGCAAAGGGTAAGGAGTGTTGCGAAATTAGTGAAGAACAGAGAAAATGCATATTCACTGATTTTTTTGCACTTGGTAACCTTCACCTACAGCGTGAATTTCTAATAAGACATATTAAGGTCTCAAATAAGTTTCGAACAACAACGAAAAATGAATCACGTAGAAAATATACCTTGAAATACGCACTGAGCATGGATAAGAAGCCTCACGTTGTCTGCAAAAAAATGTTCTTAAGTACCCTAGGCATATCTGAAAGAATGTGCAGAACAGCCCTGAATAAAGTAACCGACACTGGTGTTTTAGAAAACGAAAAACGAGGAGGAAGGCAAAGACAACGTGAACATAAAATAAAAGAATCTAAAATGCTAATTGAGATTAAACAGCAAATAGACAAATTTCCACGGATGGAGTCACATTTCTGTAGGGCGAAGACATCAAAATTATATCTTCACCCAGACTTAAGTTTGAGTAAAATGTACACCTTCTTTGTGGAAGAATTAGAAAAACAGGGACGAAACCATGGAGTACCTAGTTATGCTACTTATCGAAGAGTCTTCAAACAACAAAATTTATCGTTTAGTAGCCCTAAAAAAGACCAATGTTCATTATGTTTTACTTTTCACGAGGGTGATGAAAGTGTGAAAGAGAATCTGAGAGAAAGGTATAATCTTCATACTGCAGAAAAAACAGCCGTTCGTGCAAAGAAAGCAGTATGTAAATCTGAAGCTCAAGAAAATCCGTACATTTTATGTGCTGTTTTCGACCTTCAACAAGTTATATACGTCCCCATATCCAAAGAAAGTGCCATATTTTATAAAAGCCGCTTATCGACATTTAATTTTACTGTTTATAATATTGCAAATAAAGACTGTAATTGTTTTTTTTGGGATGAAACAGCTAGTAGAAGGGGTTCTTCGGAAATCGCTACTTGCATTTTCAAGACTTTAGAAGAATACAGTGAAAAACAAAAAATAGTGAAAGCGAACCTTTTCTCTGATGGGTGTTATGGGCAAAATAAAAACTCTATAATTGCAGCAATGCTGATGTACGCAGTTAACAAATTTTCAGCGTTGACCGAAATTACTCTAAGCTATTTCGAAACTAACCATGGTCAGAACGAAGGCGATTCTGCTCATAGTGCAATCTCTAAGGCTATTGCCACAGCTGGCAGTATATTTATGCCTTCACAGTTACACCCAGTGATTCGGTTAGCACGAAAAAAGTCTCCTTATAACGTCATTCCAATGACATACAAAGATTTCAAGGATTTCAAAGCTCTTTCGAAAGAAATTCGAATATTAAATGTGAAAATATCCGAATCTGGTAAACGCATAAAATGGACTGATATTAAGGAGATTCAAGTGCGAAAAACTGAACCTGATAAGTTGTTTCTTAAAACTAGTCATCTTGAGAATACTTACGACTGCATTCGTCTCAAACGTTTACTCAAGAACCCTTTGGATTTCCCTGTCGCTGCTTTGAATAAACACCCAATAAATATTTCAAGAAAGAAATTTGATGATCTTGTTTCGTTATGTAGAGGAAACCATCCAGTTGTTCGCATTCCAGAATGTCAACAATTTATTTTTAATTTACCTCATGAAAAAAATAATTGAGTTTTTGAGTTCGTTTTTCATTAATTCTTGTTTCTGTTTAGAATAAACTTTAATTAGGTATCTAATGAACATTTTTTAATCTTTAATTATAATTAATTATTATTATAGATAAATATTTTTGCATATTCCGAATT